TATGAAATAAATTTTTTTTATCAAATTCTAATTTTCCTTTGTTATTAATGAATCGTATTTATTTGTTGACACCAATGAATATTAGTTATAAGAATGTAATAGTTAATAGTCATTAATATCTATTACAATTTCAACTGTAATTTTAGAAATTTCATAACGCAATGTGTATTTTAAAAAATTATATAAGTTATTTTTATGAAGTGCATGTTATTTGTTTGGTAGTTGAAAAGGAAGAAAAAGAAATTTCACGGAATGCGAGCTCACTACAGTGACCTCGCATTCCTGGAATGCGAACACCCCATTTGTAGAAAAACCTGCAAAAACCGCCCCAGTTGTAGAATGACTTTTTTTTTTCATCATACACTAAGAATTCACCCACTTTATCATATAGTTCAATATCAAAAGAAATCCAATGGAGCATCATCTTCTTGGCACTTCTTCATCTTTACTACTAGTAATGTTCTTATTCAATTCTATTCTCATCAGCAGCCATTTTCCGTTTGGCCGCAGCAAACAAGCTTATACTCATTCAAATGTCTCCTGTATCGAGAGTGAACGACAAGCTCTTCTTCAATTCAGAGATGGATTGGTAGATGAATCGAATCGCCTATCATCTTGAATTGGAGAGGACTATTATTCATGGGAAGGCATTGGCTGCCACAAAATCACTGGCCAAATGGTGAAACTTGATCTACAAAATATGAAGGCATTATATTCAACTGATGTAGTATTTACTTGCTGTAAAAATTGCTTGGGAGGCCAATTAAGTCCATTTTTGGTCAATTTGACCAATTTGCGATACCTGGACCTGAGCAAGAATAATTTTTCAGGAATCCAAGTTCCCACATTCCTTGGATTGTTGAAAAACCTGATACACTTAAATCTCGCAAATGCAGTGTTTGATGGTGAAATTCCCGGCCATCTTGGAAATCTCTCATGTTTACGGCATTTAGAACTTGGAGGTGTATCCTTAACACCAAATCAATGGACGACGAAGGATCTCAGGTGGATTGTTGGACTCCTTTCTCTAGAAGACCTAGTTCTGTCTGACGGGATTTTTATATCAATACAAGTTTAAATCCGATCTTATACCCGTTTAACTGCAAGTATACAGGCCAAAATTATAATGTAGGGTATTTATCGGGTCGATCCCATAAGGAGCAAATTAACCAATTATTAGGTCCTTGTTTTCTCTATTATTTAGACTTATGAATGAATTTGAGTAGAGAAATCATATTGCTATTTTCTACAAATCTGATCTACAAATCTAGTTTAGCAAAAGCTAAATGCAAATGGAGAATTTTCAATCTAGGATAAATCTAGGGATGTAGATTCCACTTATGGCATAAACAATACAAATAAATGAATTTACCTCTTGTTATTATTCTTATTTAACCAGGGATTCATTTCCAATATTACCAAACTTCATTCTCATGATAAAATGGCTTAGAGTAGTCCAGTTTTCCCTATTTTCATGGTAAAATACTACTACTACTCTGTTTTCTTTCATGAAATGCTAAGTAATCCACCTAAGTATATCTCTATTTTCATGAACATACAACTTAAGCTCTACTCATGTGTTTCCATTGTTACTACCAATTCTCTTTGAACAATAACAACTATAAACATGCTATTAGTGATCAACCAATAACAAGTAATTACTACATGCACAAATAGACGAGTTAATACAAGATATAACAAGTGTAAATCACATTCAATTTATCTCATTTAGCCATAAGCTTTATCTACTCCCTAGATTAAGAAGTTTAGCTAATCATGAATGATTTAACAATCAAACTCACAAATTTATTAATGCAAAACATCATAAAGTACAAGTACAAGAAAAATAAAAGAAAGCTTAGCCAATTGATGTGATGCCCTCCAATTTCTGCTATGTTATTGTATAAGATGATTACAAATGAAAACTCCAAAATGCCTCTCCAAGATCTCCTAACTAGAGAGAAACTAGTTACAAGAAGGAAAAAAAGCTACGCAAGGTGATGACTGGGCTTTCCCTTGTGTTTCTGTATAAAAGGTAGTAGAAAGGCACTTTTTTTCTTTTTCATGATTTCAACCACTCAGATTTTGTGAAGGAAGTCAAAAGATATGTTGTTTTCACCAATGTTTTTAAACTCGGACCGGTCAGTGAACCGGAGAGGTGGCCGGTTCGCGGTTCGACCTGTCCAACCGGTCCAACCGGCCGGTTCAAAGGTTTACTTTTTTTTTTTTTGTGTTAAGTACTAAACAGGTTTCATTCTACACTTGAACTTTACCAACATAACTTAATTTAAGTTATGATAATAATAAATTTTCTAAAAGTTATACATAAAACATGGAATGATAAATATAATTAAAATATCATAATTCACCATAAGTTTTCATAAATTCATTATAAACATAAATAGATACAATCCAAATGTTCACCAATTATCACAAATAAAAACACAAAAAATAAATAAATTAAATATTAAAATTCTTTTACAACCCTTAAAAAAATCCATAAAAGAGTTCAAGTTAAGACAAACTATTTGAATAGTAAACTTTTATCAGTGGCATAATAAGCAACCACACCACCTTCACAATTTCATCAACTTAAGCTGAAAAAGTTAAAATTTTATTATAAAAATATAAATCTAATTGCTCAAACTAAAAATTTTTTAAAAACAAATATACAGTTAAACACATAAAAAATTAATTGCTACTAAACATTACTAATTAACATGTTATATTAAATTCAATGATCCTATACCATTAATTATTTTAAATTCAATTATCAATAGCTTCGATTATGTGCCAACTACCATATTTTTTACCAACCCAATGTTATTATTTGTAATTCCTACCCAATTCCTACACGGATGTGCACTACTTTTGCAAAAATTTCATCCTTAATTAATCGAATAAAAATAAAACAAAAATGAGGGAAACATATGAAAATTGAGTGGAAAAAGAAGAAAATGCAAAAAATCAACTAAAGATAATAATATAGAAAAAAAAACCTTGAAAAGAAAAAAATTAAACTTACTAAGATGTTGGAAAACAAGAAAAGTTGAAATTTTCAACTTGTTTACAATTTGCTAAAGATAATAACCTGATAATAATGGTGAAGACTTGAGAAAATCTTGTTGTGGATATTTGGGTTAAAAATGGTTAAGAAGAAAAAATTGAAAAAAAAAATAAGAGAAGAACTTGATGTTTTAATATATTTTTTAGTCAAGTAGAATTCTCAACAAACTTAACTATAGTCTAGCGGTGAGATTGTCATATCCAAACTTGGAGACCCAGGTTCAAATCTTAGCTACACCATTCTTGATATTTTGTTGAAGAATTTAAAAAACCGCCGATTCACGGTTCTTAACGGTTCGCACGGTTCGTCCGGGTTTCAACGGTTTTCCATGAACTTCCGGCTTTAGCATTAGATCGGACCGGTGACATGGCCGGTTCGCGGTCCAACCGGCCGGTCCGGTCCGGTTCTGAAAACATTGGTTTTCACTAGTCAATAACTCATTTGGTCTTCTCTTTTGTTGCAAAAGCATGTGCCACCGAATTTTCTCTCCCAAGATAGCTGGAAAGTTGTGTGAAAAGTGAGAAAAAACAGCTGTGCCACTTGCTGAAGAGAGAGACAGATCCGAGCCTTGGATCCGATGGGTGAAGATCGATCCGAGCTCAAATCTTATTGATCCGAGGATTTTCTCTGATGGATCCGAGCTCAGATCGTATGACCTCGGATACACTGTTTTAGAAGTACAGACAAGCTCTCGGATCACCCTTTACTCACACGGATTCGTGCTAATGAATTTCCAGTTTTTTACTTCTTCTCTTTTCTCTTCATGTTGCTCCTAATTTCTCTTGTACTTAATCCTCAAGACAATTCTTACAATTCCTTCATCTCGTGCATGAATTCCATATATCAATATCCTTCATAATTTCACAAAATTAACACATTAATCCACTTACTTATCAATTTTTAAACACTTAAACAATATTTAATCAATTATCACCAAAAGAGTTCAAATATGGCTTTAATCTTCTCAAAATATACCAAAAGTTCATGCCAAACTTGTACAAAATATACGTTAAATATTCACTTATCACTGTCTGGGGTCAATCTCAGTGCCGCTGAAGATGGGTTAAAAGCAATTAACATGCTTCCTTCACTAACAAGGCTCAAATTATCAGGTTGTGGACTTTTATCGATCCTTATCTTTCACAGGTCAATTTCACATATCTTTCTTCCATTAAACTCGGTGAAAATAGTTTCAACAACTACATGGTCCCTCCTTGGCTCCATGATCTTACTGGTCTCCATGATCTTGATAATAATCTTTCTGGTCCAATTCATGGCCTTTTTGAACAAATGACCTCTCTGGTTGATCTTGATCTAGCGGTTTTGATGCATCAACGTTGAAGTCACTTTACAATGTAAGCAGTCTTAATTATTTGGATCTGAGTTTAAATGAGATGCAAGGGTCACTACCAAGTGAAACCGGCCAACTTTCGAAGCTGCAAGAATTGTATATTTCTTCCAACTCATTAACCGGTGTATTATTTGAAGACCATTATGCAAAACTCGGAGAGCTAAAGTTATTGCACCAATCTGGAAACTTATTTGCTCTGAATGTGAGCTCCTGGTGGGTTCCTCCTTTTCAACTCCGAGAAATTATGATGTCATCCATCAAAGTAGGCCCCCTATTTCTTGCTTGGCTGCGAACGCAAAAGAAGGTTCAATGGTTAGAGATGAAGAATGCGAGTATTTCGGATAGCATACCCAGCTGGTTTGGAGTGCTTTGTTATGATATTGGATTAGTAGATTTCTCGGACAACAACCTGACTTGGAATCCGTTGGAGTTCAAACAAATGAAGAAGAGTCCTCCTGATGGTAATTCTCCAAGCATAGTTCTAAAGTCCAACAAATTGGATGGATCTCTCAAATCGTTTCCGTCTTATATTTACGAATTAGATCTTTCACAAAATTTCTTACTGGACATATTTACTTAGACATGGCAAAAGCATATGATAGGGTAGAGTGGCACTTTTTGCAGGCTATGATGGAAAAGATGGGTTTCTGTCCGGTATGGATCAAATGGATCAATAGCTGTTTGAAGACTGTAACTTACTCCTTCAATTGCAATGGAGAAGCCAAAGGTTTTGTGACTCCAGGGAGAGGCATACGACAGGGAGACCCCCTGTCCCCTTATTTATTCTTGATCTGTTCTGAAGGACTATCAAGTTTGCTGAGGAAGGCTGAAGAGAGTAATAGAATTCAGGGACTGAAAATCAGCAGGCAAGGACCTGAACTTACCCATCTTTTCTTTGCTGATGACTCCCTCATCTTTTGCAAAGCTGATAAGCAGCAAGCTACTGAGATCATGAATATTCTTAAAATCTATGAAGCTGCCTCAGGTCAAATGATCAATCTAGACAAATCTGCTGTATTTTTCAGCAGAAACATGATCAGTGATCAAAGGGAGGAGGTATGCCAAGCATTAGGAGGGATGAATGAGGCAAAGCAAGGAAAATATTTAGGCCTCCCGATGGTGATTTCAAGAACCAAAGACCAGATATTTGGCTTTGTTCGAGAAAACATCAAAAGAAGACTTCAAAACTGGAAAAGCAAGTTCCTCAGCTCAGCAGGGAAAGAGGTAATGCTAAAGTCAGTAGCTATGGCCATGCCAACGTATGTCATGTCATGTTTCAAGCTATCAAGGAAACTTTGCAAAGATATCAGTGCTCTGATGGCCAACTTCTGGTGGGGAGAAACAAGTGGTAGGAATAAAATGCACTGGACTTCTTGGGAAAGAATGGCACGAAAGAGGAATGAGGGAGGACTTGGTTTCAAGGACCTTGAGGCTTTCAATAAAGCAATGTTAGGGAAGCAGATATGGAGAATCCTCACCAAGCCAAACCTTCTTGTGAGCAAGGTGCTAAAAGCTAAATATTTCCCTAAGGAATCCATACGTCATTGCAATCCCCCCAAAAGTGCCTCCTGGATTTGGCAAGGCTTAATGGGAGCAAGAAGTCTGCTGGATAAGGGACTGATTAGGCGAATTGGCAATGGAAGGAATACACGAATCTGGGAGCATAAATGGATACCAAAGACAATCTCAGGAATGCCAAGTACAGTTAAACCAAACAATTGTGATTTGGAAAGAGTGGATGAGCTCATTTGCCACAACAGATGGAACAAGAACACCATATTTAGAGTCTTCAACAGAAATGATGCTGAGAGGATCCTAAGTATCCCCCTAAGTCTGTCAGGGAGGGAAGACAGCTATTACTGGCAACCACAGGCAGGTGGGGAGTACACAGTCAATTCAGGTTACAAAATCCAAATGAAGAACAACAGGAAAGCTAGGAAGAGTGCTTCAGAGGTAGCTGGTTCGAGTTATATAGAGGGGAGCCAGCAAGTGTCACAGATGTGGAACACACTCTGGCAGCTCAACATCAAGCACAAAATCAAGCTCTTCATTTGGAAATGTATACAAGGAGCTTTACCAGTGAGAGAAGCCGTGAGTAGAAGAACAAGAATAGGAGATCCAATATGCAGAACCTGTGGAGAGGCGCAGGAAACAAGTGAACATCTATTGCTAACATGCCCCCACACGGCGGACATTTGGAAGGCATCACCTATTCACTGGGAGGGGGCTCAGGAACAGTAGGGTGAATTCAGAAGATGGTGGCTTAGAATCTCAGAAGCAAGGGCAAGACCAGAAGGGAAGGAACATATTGGCTTGACGGCGAATATCTTGTGGCAAATATGGAAAGATAGGAATAAGAAGGAGTTTGAGAGCTCAACTAGATCATCACCACTGAGAACAGTAGAAAAAGCACATAGAGAGTGGCTGGAGCAAGTGGAAGTAGAGAAATCAAAAGATAGAACGAGTACAGAAGAAACAGCCCACATGCATGATCAACAAAACCAAGGCAATGAAGCTCAGGGAGCTATGATCATGGACCTGTCAACAGCTACAAGGAAAGGTCAAAACAATCTAGGCATTGGAGTCACAGTTAGAACAACTGCAGGCACCAAGATTGTAGAATGGAAGCTGAAAGAAAGAAGCCTGGGGAACCAAAGCCTAGATGATGCACTAGCTTTAAAGCTAGTCTTGTGTAAAGCTGCGCAATATCAGTGGAGCAGAATCAGGCTCAATTTTGCCAACAAGGAGCTGCTGAAACAACTAACAAAAACACAGCCTTTGGGGAGCAGAATGGCTACATTGCTGGAGGATATTGTGAATGTGAAAAGACTGTTTTGCATGTGCTCCTTTTGCTTGAGTAGGGAAGAAAATATGATAGATAGTAGAAAATTAAGTGTTGATGCTTTAGGCATTATTGTGGATGAGGAAAGGAATGTTCCTCAGTGTCTTTGAACACTTTTGTAAAGTTCTCTCGAGCCGTTGCTCGCACTTGTAAATTTTTTCCCTTACTATAATGAAATTATCCTATCGTTTCAACAAAAAAAAAAAAAAAAGACATATTCCATTGCCTGATGTTGGTCAAACTGTTGCATCTACTCGTTTTCTCATATTTAGTGATAATCATTTCACAAGTAGTATCCCGGAAGACTTGTGCAAGTTGGAAAATTTAAAATATCTGGATCTATCCAACAATTTCCTGTCCAGAAGAGTTCCTCTGTGTTTGGGAAATTTGCCAGGCTTGTGGGTCATAAACTTGGCTAATAACAGCCTATGCGGTCAAATTCTGAGTTCACTGGGCAACTTTGGATTATGCATTTGAATCGAAATAAATTCGTTGGGAAGCTCCCATCCTCAATGCGGAGCCTGAGAAATTTACAAATTCTTGATCTCGGTGACAATGGACTCACAGATATTATACCAACATGGATTGGGGAAAGGTTATCAAAGTTAAAGTTTCTAAGATTTCAGTCAAATAACTTCCATGAAGTCATTTCTGATGAGCTCTGCCTACTCTCAAGTTTTCAAGTGCTGAACCTAGCGCATAATAATTTAACAGGATCTATTCCTCATTGTTTTAACAACTTCTCAATGATGGCATCAAGTGAACCAGGAACTGATCTCTGGAAATTTGGCGATTCCACCTGGCTTCAAAACATCAAGGGAGGAGGAGAACTTGAGTACTCCTCTCGGAACCTTTTGCGCGTTAAATCCATAAGCCTCTCAACAAATAATTTAGTGGGTAAGATCCCTGATGGGATAATGGATCTGGTTGATTTGCACACTTTGAACCTATCACATAATCATTTGACTGGAAGGATCCCCGAGAAGATTGGCAACTTGAAGCAACTCGAGTCACTTGAAGTATTGATGAATGAACTCTTCGGTGCAATCCCCGAAAGCTTATCTGCTTTAAACTGGTTGAGCATCTTGAATTTGTCACACAATAAGCTATCAGGGCCAATACCATCAGGGAATCAAATTCAGACCTTAACCGATCCATCTATCCATGAAGGAAACATTGGACTCTATGGCGAGCCGCTCCCAAATGACTGCCTGGAACATAAATTGCATACGGAAAATGGGCATATTCATGATGATATAGGCCACGGCGAGTCTAATTGGTCTTGGTTTTATGCTGGTATAGGACCGGGTTATGCTGTCGGGCTATTGGGAGTTTTGGGAATCCTTCTGTTCAAGGAGTCATGGCGCTATGCATACTTCAGGTTTCTGGAAAATGCCTATGACAAAATCTGCGTAATTCTTGCATTGAAGGCCAATCAGCTGAGGACGAATTTCGATTGAGAAAGTACGTATAGAAGCACATATATTCTGTTTTTCATATCACACACTAAGGCACCAAAATTCACGTAGCATACTATTCTTGATAATTTGCAAAACTATAGCAATTTGTAATTTGTTTTTTCCAAACATGTCCAAGGATTTGTTTTTTGAGTCCCAACTTGACCAATTCTATCCAATAAGAAAATGCGAGCTTAATAAGTTTTTTTTTTTCCCAAACAAAGAAGCTTAATAAGTTATATCAACAAAAGAATAACGTACCAATTGTAACATAAAGTAGTAGACGCCTATTACCAATTACCTTACCAACATGGCTCTAACATGAAATCACTAGCTCACAAAGGAATTTTTTCCAATAAACTATTAAGTGATTGGAGACCAAAAGTTTTTTTTTCCTTAACTTTTGAAGATTTTTATCCCAAAAAACTAGATAACAAAACCTTATTTGCTTTTCCTGGTTTCTCTCTTTCTATTGGCAATTGTTTCAACTTTCTCAAAAGTTTGAATTCTAATAATTCCCTTCTGTTATTCATATTTATATTGTGTTTTCCCATGGTTCGTTGATTTGCATATTATGAGAATTTTGTTGATTTTCTTTTATTGACAAACGATTATAAAGATAATAGCATGTGAAATAATGCTTTTACTGTTAGCATTTGTATGCAATAAAGATTCTATGCTGAGCAATTTATAGGTTGTTTATCTTGCTTACTGATCTAATTTTTGTGTCAACAGATTTAAACAATTTAGAAGAATTCTATACTTGTTTATGCTAATAATTGATTTAGTTATTTAATTTCTAATTGATATACATTCTATCTTTTCTGCCAATAACTCTTATGAACTACCAGCTAATGATTTTCAGGTATTTTTAAACCATTGGTTATTGTAGCTGAATAAATTCTTATGAGAATTTTGGATGATCCCAAAAGAAAGAAGAAGAATAATGTCGAGCTTTAGAAATATGGCCCCCTAGTTGCAATACGACAAGAGAATAAGGGGAAAAAAGAAGTTAAAAATTTTGTATCTTACCATCACTTTGCTCTTCAAGCTTAGATATTCCTAATATTTTATATAAATGGAGTTTGTGATAATTCAGTGCTGTTAAAGATTATAGTGTGTGTATGTATATTGTAGAATCTTGAAGGTTATTTGATTGTAAAAGCGATGAGTGTTATATTACTTCCTTCTTTCCTTTAATGATTTTTCAAACTTAACAATTGGTGCAATCAACTAGTCATATATATATATATATATATATATATATATATATATATATATATATATAAATTGCTTCTAAAATAAAGTGGGAAAGGATGTATAATTTTCTTTGGTTATGGGAAAAAATGTATAGTTAGCACGGACTCCGATTTTCACCGTTCAATTGGTCTACTAACGCCCTTATGTTATCGAAGATCAGACTCTTGATCGCTTAGCTATGTGGCGTATAAAGGCCAAGTTTCAAATGATCGAATCAAATTCCCATTAAACATGTTGGTTTTAATTACTGGGTTTCCTTGTTTAATTTTCATCACAAATAATTTTGAGATTCAGATTGCATGACAAGATATCATCAGCTTAAATCAATTTTTGAAGCTAATTATGTATCCATCAAAACGGGTCCATTTATACTCGTAAACTTTTCAAAGTCTTGCGATTAATTAATACGACACTTGGAATTTTGTACGTCGGACCATACATGGATTAGTTTTTGGGAAGAACTTTGAATATAACGTCATTGCCCAATAGAAAAGCTAAAAAAGAGTTGTATACTTACTTGTCCTCTAGGAGAAACTAATAGAAGTCATCCAATTAAGGTGTTTGTCACACTATATGTGATTCACATTACATGGTTATGCTTTTAGAATGCTCAAACCTCTTATTCAAATGATGTAAACTTTTAAATAGGGATGGCAATTGGGGTAGGTGCCCACGGGGGATGGGGCAGGGCAGGGGGAATTTTTTATCTTGTTTTGAAACGGGGCGTTAAAAAAATTAATATATATATATATGTGTGTGTGTGTGTCTAATTATATATATAATATTTAATTTAATTAGTTACGAACTTATAATAATGATATTATTAGTTATATGTATTATATAACGTATATTAGTATATGTACTATAATTGATATTATCAATTATACTAATAATTATACATGTCTACTAATAGAAATTATTAATTAGTTATACTAAATTTACTAATTACATTTAACAAAATAATATTTTTTTCTCAAAAAAAAGGCATAATAATGACTGAGTAATTATATTTGTGCCAAAAGTAAAAATTTGGCTACTTTAGTTGTATTCATTTTATCATATTGGATTGTATTCAAATAACTTTTGTTTGATTCTTTTTATGAGTTTCAATTATAAAATTACAATGAATAATAACTTGGTGATGTATTGATATTTTAATACGTGATTATTTGCTAAATTTTGACTATAATAAATTTTTATTAGCCCCGCGGGGTGCCCTGTTGCCATCCCTACATTTAAAAGACCAAATCTTGACATGGAACAAGTACATATATAAAAATTCAAAATCCTTACAAAACTTTTTTGATAAAGTGTGCCCCTTTTTGATAACCATCCAACATGCAATACACTTGCACCTAAACTAGTCTTTTAAACATAATTATTGTCCCTTATGCTCTAAACTTTGTTATTCTCAAGGAAAACTAATTAACTTGCTTACTTCTTTAACATCAGCCTATCTAGTTTAGGATATTTGGCAAAGTTTCAATCGGCTTAGACGATTTTTATTCAAATACTTTTAAATTAATACAAATTGCAAAAGAGAGGATCAAGATCTTTTATGTGATAGTGTACAGCGGAAAATCAATTTCCCATAAATTCAGTACAAGAAAATAAGGATTTTCCACAATGGGTCACGACTTTCATTTACAGGCGGACTTAGACCCAGGACATCGGCTAATTTTCTACCCAACATGGAACGTTATGTATGCCGTCAAAGATCTAGAAGGCTGTTTATATAGGATTTCTTTGCTTCTTCTAATTTTAAATGCACATTTGAAATGCTTGATCTGTTTATTCTTCTTTTAGCCTCAACCTCTTTATAGTTAAAAAACCACCAAAATGCTTTGCTTATTAAAAATTTTATCAAGTCAAAGAAAAATGCTTATCAAGTCTCATTGAATGTGTTAAACTATGCAATTTTCTCGATAAATAAATAAAGTCGTCAGTAAAACTATGCATGCATCTGCCTACGAATACGGTGTCCATTTACACTCATAAAATTTTCCAAGTCTTGCGATTCATTTCCACGAATTAGGTGAATTGCATGATGCGATTGCAGAGAATCTCCACCTAATTGGAGACTTTTCCAAGACTATATATGTATACAATTAATAAGTCATTTGAAATTTTGTACGTCGACCATACATGGATTGGCTATAGGATAGAATTTTGAATATAATGTCACTGCCCAATATATATCACAGGAATTTTGAATTTAATAGGGTGGTTTTATCCCAGGAATTGTTTTCCTTCTAAAATGACCCGTATAAATCACAAGCATGAACAGTTCATAATTTTGTTGATGCCCATAAAAATAATTGAAAGTATTGGAACCCTAAACCTACTATTTTAATCCCCCGCCTGAAATGCTACAAGTGCACATCCTGATCTTTATTTCTTCATCTTTCTTGATTTGAAATCTGCATTCCAAATGGTTGGTCTATTCATTTTTTCTTTTAACTTCATCTTTTTTTTTTTTTAATTTAAAAGCCACAAAAATGTTTTACTTATGAAAAACTTTATAATGTCACGTTAATGTCAAAGAATGTCTTCATTGGGGAAAGCAATATAGATTCACGTAATTTTTTTCGAAAAATGATTGCTATAAATCTTAGCTCAAAAAAGAAGTTTTATACTTATATGTCCATTGGGAGAAACTAATTGAGATTATTTAATTAAGGTGTTTGTCGAGCTATGTATAATTCGTTCCACATACATATGCTTCTTGAGTGCTCAAATCTCTTATTTAAACGATATAAACTAGTAAAAGATCAAATTTTGTTATTGAACAGGTACATAAATACAAATTTAAAATCCATGTTAAACTTTTTTCATAAAATGTGCACCTTTTTTGGGTAACCATCCAACAAGCAATGTAGACTTGTTTTTTAAACATTGATTTTGTTGTTGATGCTCTTGATTTTGTTGTTCTCATGGAAAAGTATTTACTTCCTTACTTCTTTAACATCGACTTATCTAGTTCAAGAATATTTGAAAAATTTTCAATCGGCCTGGTGAATTTCTGTCAAATGTTTTAAAATTAATTTAGAACGTAAAAGGGAGGGGCAAAATTTTTTTTTTATGTGATAACGTTAATAAACAAATCAATTTCACAACGAACTTATAGGGAATCAAATTTTCCATTAGTTCAATACAAAATATTTTGTCTACAAGAAAATAAAAATCTCCCATGATGAGTCATGGCTTTTTATTGACGGTGGACTTACATATAGATGACAAACCCAGCACGACATCCTATAACAAATTCCTAGGAAAATAGTTTCTACAATTATAAATATAATTGTTAGTATTTACACATGCATGGATTGTGCTTTTTTCCCACACTTGGGATCTTCGGTGACATGTTTTCTATGCCAATCCAATGCCACCTATAATATTGTGCCAAGTGTCCTGTTATTATTTACACTTGTGTTAAACCAAACCAAGTTCACTTGGGATCCTCGGTGACATGTTTTCTATGCCAATCCAATGCCACCTATAATATTATGTCAAGTGTCCTGTTATTATTTACACTTGTGTTAAACCAAACCAAGTTGAATTATTAGAAAATTAAAGTGTAAATAATAACAGGACACTTGGCGCAATACTATAGGTGGCATTGAATTGGCATAGAAAAACATGTCACCGAGGATCCCAAGTGTTTTTTCCACCTTGACTTCGAAGTCGTCGTCGTCGTTTTGTCAGCTTTGTAGAAAAGTCAGCTTTATAGATTTTCTTCCACCACAAGGACGGTGAAGTGATGCTTTTGAACTTGTATAAATGAGACCACCCATCTGAGCATACTCTATCAGATAAACCATTACTACCAAAGATATCCAATGGAGCATTTTCTTTGTTCTTCTTCATCTTTACTACTACACTTTCTATTGAGTTTTATTCTCTTCGCCAGCCAAATCCCATTCGCCAGCAGTAACCAAGCTTATTATAATTATTCAAATGTAACCTGTACTGAAAGTGAACGCCGTGCCCTTCTTCAATTCAAAGATGGGTTGATAGATGAATCAAATCGTTTGTCATCTTGGATTGGAGAACGTTGTTGTTCATGGGAAGGAGTAGATTGCCACAATACCACTGATAGTGTTTTGAAACTTGATCTACGCAATAAGGTGCCAATTTATGAAGATGGTCATTACTGCAAAAATTGTTTGGGAGGCCAATTAAGTCCATCTTTGGTCAATTTGACCAATTTGCAGTACCTAGACCTAAGCTTGAATAATTTTTCAAGAATCCAAATTCCCACATTCTTTGGATTGTTTAAAAGCTTGAGATACCTCAATCTCTCTAGTGCAGAACTTGCCGGTGAAATTCCCTACCATTTAGGAAATTGCTCGCATTTAAGGTATTTAGATCTTGGAGTTGCAACTCAAAATTCCTACATAACCCAGAATTGGTTGAGGAGTAAGGATCTCGGGTGGCTTGCTGGGCTTTCTTCTCTAGAAGGCCTAGTCCTGTCCTGGGTAGATCTTAGTGCCGCTGAAGATGGGTTAAAGGCAATTAAAATGCTTTCTTCACTAACAACACTAAAGTTGGATTTTTGTAAACTTTTCATCATTCCTCATCTTTCACCGGCCAATTTCACATCTCTTTCTACTCTTGACCTCAGTGGAAATAATTTCGGCAAGTACATGGTCCCTTCTTGGCTCCATAATCTTACTATTCTCCATGATCTTCGTCTTAGCTCTAATAACCTCTCTGTTCCAATTCATGGCCTATTTGGGCAAATGACATCTCTAGCTCTTCTCGATCTTGGCTATAACCGCTTTGATGCTTCAACTTTGAAATCTCTTTGCAATGTGAGCAGTCTTACTTATTTGGATATGAATAATAACAACTTGCAAGGGTCGATACCTAGTGAAATAGGCCAGCTTATAAGTCTTACCTATTTGGATTTGAGTTACAATGACTGGCAAGGGTCAATACCAAGTGAAATAGGGCAGCTTGTAAAACTAACCGAACTACTTCTCTTTTCAAGTAGGTTAAATGGCACCATACCCTACAGTCTTGGGCAGCTCATGAACCTACAAACATTAGACATTTCTTATAATTCATTAACCGGTGTACTATCTGAGCATCATTTTTCGAAACTCAAATGCCTGAAGAAATTGGACCTATCTGAGAACTCATTTTCTTTGAATGTGAGCTCCTCATGGGTTCCTCCATTTCAACTCCAATACATTGGCATGCAATCCATCAAACTAGGACCTCGATTTCCAGAGTGGCTTCGGATGCAACAAGAGGTTGAACAGTTATACATAAATAATGCGAGCATTTCAGATGCCATCCCTAGCTGGTTTCGAGAGCTTTGTTATGATATTAAATATTTAGATCTCTCCAACAACAACATAACTGGAAGTCCACTAGAGTTCAAAGAAATGAAGAGCCATCATGGTGAAGATCGGGCATTACTTCTATCTTCAAACAAAATGGAGGGATCTCTGAAATCCTTTCCGTCAGATATTTGGTATCTAGATCTCTCACAAAATTTTCTCACAGGACATATTCCAAAGCCTGACGCCAATCAAACTGTTGTCCGTATGATTTATCTGAGACTCAATAATAACCATTTCAGAGGTACTATCCCGGAAGACTTGTGCAGGTTGAAAAGTTTAGCTGAGTTAGAACTATCCAACAACCATTTGTCAGGAAGAGTTCCAATGTGCTTGGGAACCTTGCGAGATTTGTGGATCCTAAACTTGGCAAATAACAGGCTCTACGGTCAAATACCAAGTTCACTAGGAAACTTGAAGGGACTTAACAGTCTGCTTTTGTATGGTAATAAATTCGTCGGGAAACTCCCCTCATCAATGCAAAATTTGACAGGCTTGCAACTTCTTGATCTCGGTGAAAATAGACTGAAGGATATCATACCATCGTGGATTGGGGAAAGGTTTTCAAAGTTGATGTTTCTAAGACTTCAGTCGAACAATTTCCATGGAGGTATTTCTAATAAACTCTGCCAAATCTCAAATCTTCAAGTGCTCAACCTGGCACACAATAATTTAACAGGAAATATTCCTCAATGTTTTAACAACTTCACTGTGATGGCATCAAATGATCCAGGAAAATATCATCAAGGAATTAATAATGAAATCAGTCTTCAAAACTTTAAGGGAGGAAGAGAACTTGAGTACTCCTCAGAGAATGTTATGTTTGTTAAATCTATAAGCCTCTCAGCAAATAATTTAGTTGGTGAAATCCCTGATGGGATAATGGATCTTACTGGGCTGCAAATTTTGAACCTATCACAAAACCATCTAAGCGGAAGGATCTCCAAGAAGATTGCCAATTTGAAGCAACTTGAAACGCTTGATCTATCAATGAATGAACTCTTCGGTGCAATCCCTCCAAGCTTGTCTGCTTTAGACTCATTGAGCTTCCTAAATTTGTCATACAATAACCTTTCAGGGCCAATACCATCAGGAAATCAACTTCAGACCTTAACCGACCCATCCATCTATGAAGGAAATAGTGGACTCTGTGGCAAGCCACTCCCAAACAATTGCCTGCAAGACAAATTACCTGTGGAAAAGGGACCAATTCTTGATGACAAAGGTCACAACGAGTCTGATTGGTCTTGGTTTTATGCTGGTATAGGACCCGGTTTTGCTGCCGGGCTCTTGGGAGTTTTGGGAATCCTTATTTTCAAGGAGTCATGGAGCTATGCATACTTCAGGTTTCTGGAAAATGCCTATGACAAAATCTGCGTAATGATTGCATTGAAGACTGCTCACCTGAGGAGGAACTTCCATTGAGTAAGTACATTGAAAAACACGTTTCATCTAGTTTTCACCGTCACGCACTAAAGCGTCACAATTCACGTAGCTTAGCATCCTTGTTAACTGGCCCATTGAAAATTTAACAATTTTTAGATATTCCTTTATCTTTTTTGTTTGTTTAGTGATTATATTTGAACCATGGATTACAGAATAGTCATGTAAAGCTTGATAAACTGTATAGAGTCTTAGACTTTCACATATCTTTTTCTTTTCATAAATGCCAACTTTAAATATTTTGAAACTGGCACTTGGCAAGGGATAAATTACTTATATTGGATTTTTTTTTTTCCTTTCAATCTGCTAGGCCCTACAACTATCCAAGTGCTGGCTGCTATTGTTGAATCAGTCAGAATGAGCAATATCTTCCAAGTGATTTGAGAAGCAGTAGTAGTTTTACTATAATTTTTGTATGGTTATATTTCGAATATTCAGTTTTGTTTGGCATCTTCAGATGTAATGTGAGGATTAGACCTCCTTTTATTTGCCATGTATTATACGTCAAAAAAAAGTTATGATAGTTTGACCAAAAAAAAAATTGTACAGTAAAACCTCTATATATTAATAACCTTACAACCATATAAATTCTATTAGTTTAAAGAGGTCTTAATTAATTTATTAATTTATCAAGTGTGATTATAATTCAAAGAAACACTCATTTAATCAACTAAAGTTTTATTTTATTTTATAAAAATATGAATTATTGTATTAATAGAAACTAACCCATATCTACTTGATTTGCAAGTATAATTTAATTCTATTAATATCTTCAATATATATACATAACTGATGAAATTGAGAATGATACGGTAGCTTTGGAGCCCGTTAACTGAAAGGAAGCATTGAATTATCAATAACTCTTCATAATTTCTTATTGCAATTTGCGAATTCAAGTCCAAAACTTTTAGATTCAATAAGAAAAATTAGGGATGAAATTCAAGTAGACTTAAATTTTAAGAATAAACAAGCAACAATAGACTAATATTTTAAGAAAATATAATATGTAATTTTAGTGAATTATGAATTTACGATATGAATGGTATTAAGGGTTATGTAAGGTTTTAAAAATTATTATCTTATTATTTTATCAAAATTATTAATTTAGATCATTAACCCAAATCAGGACAGAGAAAAATTATTATTAAATAAAGGCTATTAATTTATCAAATATTAATTTATAGAGGTTTTACTGTATCTCGTTTTGACACCGAGGAACTTCCCTATGCTTGCAAAATTATGCAGAATACTTATACCGTATACTTGACTCCATGTTAATGCTAATAGGCTAATTTCACGGTTGGCTTTGCAATTACAGCTTTCGTAGCAATGCTATATAACTTCAGAATGCTTTTCTTTAGCTAATAAATTCCTTAAAAATGCTAAGTTCTTGCTATTTTAGCTAACACTGGAAAATAGTAAGGCAAGAAAAATGATTTGCAGGAAAATAGATCTTGTGTTTTTGGTTTTGTCTCGATGCTTATATAGTGCAGACATGATGTATGTCTATTGGCGCAGAAAATGAATCTTGTCCATTCATTTATTCCTTATATAATCACAGCCGTTAGACTGGTGGTTTTTTATCCTCTTTACAACAAAAACAATGCTAAAAAAAAATAGCCGCATTCATCAGAGCCAACAAAATATGCTAAAAAAAAAAAAATTTCGTGTATCATGAAAGTTTGGCGCAAAATATGAGTTTGATAAAATTATGCATATAAGTTAGGGATAATTTCAGAAACCTCCCCTGAGGTTTCTGACATTTACATTTACCTCCCATGTGGTTTGAACAATTACACTGACCTCCCCAGAGGTTACTAATCCTTTACAAATTCAGTCCAAATAATTAAAATATTATTTTAGAGAGTGAAATTAGAATTTTGTACCTGATTTGTCCTTTGTGCCACATGTCCAATGAATGGCAAAGTATTACAAATTAATTAACAATTAATAAACTTTAACGAGCGTAGTTTATAGGCAAATACGTATTGCCTATTTAAAGTACCAACTCTTTACATGTATTTTACTTTCAAACATTTACTTTATCACAACTATTTATTCTCAAATACAGATTTGTATTTACTCTCAAATATTTAATTTTTGTTAAATACAAAACCTATCAGTTTTTCTTCCGTAGAAATTTAATATAATACTTTTTCAATTTTAGTCATAAATATTTATGTATTTAACATAAATTAAATGATTCAGGATAAAATATCCATAAAGAGCCAATACTTTACTCATGTAATGGATGAAAGTCATAAAAAATTAATAGTTTATGAGGCCATTGATTTTTTAAAAAATATTTAATTTATATTAAATAGATAATCTACTGATTTTTTTTGCAAGAATATTACTTTAACACTTTTCAATTTTTAATTACAAATGTTAATATATTTATCATAAATTAAATATTTGAAAATAAAATATCTGTAAAGAGACGATACTTTAAATAGGATATGCGTATTTACCAAAAATAATAATATCGAAAAACAATGAAAAAATGCAATGATACAACTAAAAAAATAAAGAAATTGATTTTACTAATATTAATGAAAAAAATAACATTGATTTTTCCACTTTTTCAACTACAACCAATGAAAAAAAAATACTACTAAAAAACACCATTGTAATTAAATGAATGCGACTATAAAAATTACCACTATAATTTTAAAAACTATTCACCTGTAAAAAGTTACCACTAAACTAACTATCTAATATTTAAAAACATCAACCTGGCGCCTGCGCATTGCTCGGGATATTCCCTTAGTTAGAATACACAAGTAGGTCAATACCAGTGCCCTCAATGTAGTACCGTCAAAGTTTGCTAGACTAACTAGGGAATAGTACTTTTAATAAAGGGCCTAATTCTTGGTCCAATATTTGGCACCAACACATTATGATTCCAAATATTAATCGAATTTGATATTAAACCCAAAAGGTATTTAATGATGAAACAAAAAATGTCAAAAATTTTCTTTAAAAAAATTATCATGAAATTCAAAATTCAAATTTAATAAATTATTGATTTCCCATTTCCCAACCAATTCTCATTTCTAGGAATGCTCTAAGAGTTGGCATTTTTAGCATCGAGAAGAAGATGACGAGGGCATATACTTGGGACAGTAATAGTGATCTCTTGGGATTTTGATGGTCAGGATTTGGGGTTCTGTGAAAAGAATTAAGCAAATTCAGAAGAACACGAAGAAATAATGAAGAAAAACTCCACTAGTTACAAGTACTAGAATTGAAGTTGTACCTTGAGAACAATCGATTATAGATTTTTACATAACCTCTTTAGACTCTTTTTTCTTAAATTAGAATAGATTAAATTATAAAAATATTATTATTACCATAAAAAAAAATAACTCACAACTTTGACGGTTTGACCCCAAGACGGGTGATGCTGAGAACAACATATATGTAATGAATTATTGATGATCGTGGGATTATTTTCCTTATGAAATCGGAGTTTTTCCTTTCCTTTTGTTTTCTTTTTGTCTATTGGAATTTCTATTGGAAATTTTGTAGGGCATATAAACATCCAATAATCGTTGTACTCATTTAATTTCAATAGTGTGCTTAATTGTTGAATTTATAGTAGTATCTACCACCACCTATCATCGGATTTGGCGATAAGTGTTTGTATTAGTGTTAATAATGGAATGTAAAGAAGATAAGGCTAATGAAGTTCAAATTGTAGCTAAATTGTAAATCTCGACATGTAGGCAAATTCTCTAAATTATGCATGATACCCAATTTTACACTCAAGCTAATATTTATATAATTTTGGGCATACTAGGCAAATCAAGAGAGTAAAAAACACATATCAATAAATCTAACACATATCATTATGCATCGGATACTAGCACTAGGCAAACCATTGTAACATTCCGTACCCCCCCTTGGCAGAAATTGTACGACGTATGAATGGAACCCCCCCCCCCCGGGGCGCCACCACCAAAGCCATCCACAAATCCACCAAAAGAAAGAGGAAAGATACCCTCACAAGGAAGAGCATCAGCAAGTATTTCCCAAATCACAACTGCCTCGTTAACTTCACTAGGAAGACCCGGAGAAGAATCATACTATCGCGCAAGATCAGGCTTTCCCTCCTCTTTTTCCCGGGCTTGGGACCGGCTGTCTGTGGAGACAGGCAGAGTTACAAGCATACTACCACACAAAACAGCACAAACATACAAAGCAAGCAAGCCACAATCAAGAACAATAGAGAAGAAAGTGCAGACTTATGTCACAAATTACTACACATTCCTTCAAAGCAACACACCAAACGAATACCAAGACTTTACCATATACTTACTTTCTTCACTTGTTTTCATACCAAGTCTCACCTTTTATCATAACTGCAGACTTAACCATTAAATCAACTAAATCATCACCATTAGTTACGAACTTGCAAATTAGGGGAATCAACCACTGAAACAAATATGATGCAACAGTTAATTTTCTATAGCATTGTACCAAAGAGAATTCGAAAAGGTTTAAGGAAAGCTCCACTGAAGAGAATGGGATATAAAACAGATTTACATACAAAAAATAAAATAAAATAAAAAACTTAAAAATTTTTGAAAAAAATCATAATGCTAAAGACTGATAAAGATCAAATATTATGTATTGCAATCATCCAACAAATAGACCCTACTTATGGGACAGTCATACAATCACAGGGGCTTAAGCTGCACAGGCATATAGAACTAATGATAAGTTGACCTGGAAAACAGGAACTCTCATGAAAAATCCAACGAAATCAACCTCAAAGTTGTGTACGCACTTCAACCAAATTAATGATTTTCAATACTCGTAAACAAGGCATTTGGATTCCTCTCAATTTGTCAATCATTTACAAATGGTTCTATGAACATAAAAACCTGTGCCAGGGCCTGCCAACATGGAACCATCTCCCAAAACAGCAACGCATACTATTGCTGATCTTAGATTGGACCTCTTGATGCCACACCATATCTGTTAGGACCATAAGCAAAGATTGGCCAACAGCTTCTTCCCAAGGATAGACAGAATTCAGTTACATGCACTTTAAAGTTGCATACTAAACCTACGTACCAGAGGATCACAAAATTCAAGTATGAAATGAAATTCACACAAAATACCAGTACCAGTGGTATGTAAGTTGATGACTACAAAAACAGATTGCATGCATCTGTTTTTACATGACTGAACAATAACAGTACCTGTTCTTACATGACTACATCTGTTATTACATGACTGAACAATAACAGTACCTGTTCTTACATGACTACGAAAGCAGATATTGCATGCATCAAGCATCTGCTAACTAACTGAGCATAACCGAATTTCTCTTCCATTCAACTGTAGATGATGAACGCTAGCAGCTGAGTATTCAATGGCAATAGAGGACGACTCCCGTTAGACCCTCTTCAACAATAATGGACATACCAGTTACCACACACCAAAAGCCCAAGAACGATAGGAGGCAAGAAATATACCTACTTCACCAGGACCATGAACCCATACTGAGTTGCATCTTATGCCGCACCCCATGGCATATCAGAAGTTTCTTTCCACATTCAAACATCAAAGTCGTCAATCAAATTCCATGTAGACTAGAGCCACATCTTTACCATCTATATGACTTGAAAGGAGACAAAAAAAAAAAAAAAAAAAAAGGCAACGAAAGAGAGAGCTCATCCAAAATCTTGTTACAAAACCAGTTAGCAGGGTCCCAAATGCACCAACACTCCGGGAACAAGCTCCTAAAAATAAAAAAAGACAGAAGCCATCACCCACCACCCCCAGTGATTTTTTCAGGCAAAGAGAACATAGAAATAGCAGGTTGAAAAGAAAATCTCCCGATTTATTCCCATCCATCCAAGAGAGAGCTCTTCTCGCCTACACACACCACAAATCCACTTTTCTTGAAAGACGACATCAAAAGAACCAGAGAAGAAAGGACAAATCTTGAAAAATCAACAAGAACAAAACACACAGTGATACCTTTTCCTTGAGGATCAGGAACAGAGACTTCCAAGCAATTACTGACAACAAATAATGCATAAGGCATTTCTACAAGCATGGTGGACTATGGAAGAAGAGATTTACAAATATTTTAGATTATATTTATAATAGTCTACAGACATCAAAAAGTACCAAAACCCTAGAAATGCTCAAGCCAAAAAAGAATGATAAGCATAGGTATGAAGATAAACCCCTCTATAGTAATGTACTAGCCTTTGATCTGAGGACAGATACCTATCTTTTGGCCACCCCTCTGAATCACTGAAATCCTAGATTCGACACAGACACAGTAAATTAAAATGACATAGTAAATTAAAGAACAAGTAGAGAAAATCATTTTTTAAAGAAAACAGCCAAAAAAAGAGAGTAGGGAAAGAGAGCGCTTATCCAATATCTTGTTACAAAACCAGTTAGCAGGGTACCAAACACACCGACACTCCTGGAACAAGCTTCCCTAAAATCAAGACAACGGAGAGAAGCCATCACCCACCTGATTTTTTCAGGCAAGAGAGAACAAAAAAAGACCAGGTTGAAAAGAAAATCTCCCGATTTTATTCACATCCATCCAAGAGAGAGCTCTTCTAGCCTCCACATACCAGAAATCCACTATTCTTGAAAAATGACATCAAAAGAGCCAGAGAAGAGAAAACAAATCTTGAAAAATCACCAAGAACAAAACAAACCGTCATTAACCTCAAAATCTTTTTACTGTCTTTTTACCAATCAACTCTATAGGGGAACTGCTCAAAAACCAGAGCAACTGAGTACAGCAATACAAAAATAAAGCAGAAAGCAAAACTCAAAATTAAGGATCACAATCACATCAATTCCATAATTCCAAGAAGAACCGCATCCCATAATTCTAAGAAACATCGCATCCAAAAAGCCCATGTTCCATCTCAAGTAGTGTTCTGCAAAGAAGTATGAGAACATGAATAGCCTACAAAGACTTGGCACAAAGATGAGAATAATCTTAAAATAAAAACTGTCGATAATTTACCATGCAATCAGACCAATATGCATAGCCTTAACACTTCTTCAGATCAAGCTGAATGAGCAAAATACCAGGAACCCCACCCACACAAATAAACTTGAATAAGCACAGAGATGCATTTGGTTATAACCCGTTCTATTCATCGTTGACTCTGCAAGAAATGCCGCCAGGCCAAAAAGATTCACAGATAAATTATAATTAAGGCATTGAAACCCCTAAATTCCTCTAGCACAAAAGAACAATTTGTGTAGGTGAGAAAATAACTCCCTCCAAAAAATTTATCTAGCCCTTGATCTGAGAATGGGGAGGCAAGTGTGAAGCACGAATCACTTCACTAAAACCCCAAGCTGCACCATAGTAATATAGGAAATTAGAGAAGAGGAGCAAATCCACAGATATCCTAATCAATTTCAAGGAAACAGCAGAAAAACAAGTAGGGAAAGAGAGAGCTCCTCCAAAATCTTGTAAACTGGAATAGCAGGTCACACAAATGACGAGAATGCTCCAATCCAAACTTCCCTAAAATGAAGACAATAGATAAGCTATTACCAACGAATACCAACTATTTTTATTCAACAGAAAGAATTGGTTGGCAGAAAAAAAAAAACTCCCGATTTATCACATTCATCCATCCAAGAAGAGCTCTTTTTTGCTTCCATCCATCAAAGAATCACGAATCACTTCACTGAAACCCTAAGTTGCAGCACCCTAGTAATATGGGAAATTAGAGAACAAGGAGCAAATCCACAAATTTCCTAATCAATTTCAAGGAAACAGCAGAAAAACAAGTAGGGAAAGAGAAAGCTCCTCCAAAATCTTGAAAACTGGAATAGCAGGTCACACAAATGCCGAGAATGCTCCGATCCAAACTTCCCTAAAATGCAGACAATAAATAAGCTATTACCAACGAATACCAGCTATTTGTAGGCAAAAGAAAGAATTGGTTGGCAGAGAAAAAACTCCCGATTTATCACATTCATCCATCCAAGAAGCTCTTTTTTGCTTCCCTCCATCCAAGAATTACTTCCATACGCAGAACTCCATCATTCTCAGACCACATCAAAGAACCAGAAAAGAAGACAACCTTTAAACATCAACCAGAACCATTCAAGAATAACTACATCAACAAACCGCAAAACCTCAAGATCAATCCTCAATCAACACCACAAAAATTGCTGAAACCCAGAGCCACAACATATAGCAACACAACCTAAAGCAACGACTGAAATACCAATGTTGAGCCCAAAATAAGAGATTATGTTCAAATACGTCCAATTAATTCACAGAGCAACATACAAGAGACCTTCCTCTCATTAAAGTTGCAAGTGACACAAAAAGCCAACAAAACTGAAATTGGATGCAAAGATGAGAACTGACAAATGAATTGACAAATTCAGATAATCTACCATAACACCAAACCTATTCATGTAACAAGCATAAACTTGATTCTTGTTCGGATCAAGAAGAAAATTCTATGGGAACTACCTAGAAAAACATGTTTGATGGCAGAATTTAAAAGCTAAGAAATACCTGACAGCAGCAATATTGCCACATTGACACAATCCTAAGCATCTGAGGACCATATGGAACCAAAATAAATTCAAAACCCTGAAGACAACAAATGGGCAAAGATAACTCTGATGGAGAAGCAGCAAAGTATGTGCGCAAATTGGATGGAGAGGTTGAAAGCTATTTCAACGGTGTTTCTCCTGGAGTTCTCAAAAAGAAAAATACTCGACAAAACTGTGTACAGGTATCAAAAGGTGCCAAAAGCATAAATTCCTCAAGTACAAGATTGTTTGTAAGAAAATAACTCCCTCCAAAACAGTTTACCATCTGAGGAAGGAAGGCTCAGTTATCACAACTCCAAATCACTGAAACCCGGTATTGCACAACACAGATTGATGCAGGAAATCAGAAAACGAACACAGCTGTCTCACAGAGCAAACCAGCACCTTTAGCCAGAGAACTCCCTAGTCAAACAGCAGAAAACAAGGACAGAGAACTTCTGGAATCTTGTAAAACTTCTGGAATCTTGTAAACCAGTATAGCAGGATAAAAAATGCGACCAGACCCTCTTGCATTCAAGCTCCCCTAAATCAATACAACAGAGAGGGCCAGTTACTAATTGACTCCCCGCCTAATTTTTTCAGGAAATAAGAAAGGAAACCAAAAAGGGAGGAGGGAAAAACTCCCAATTTCGTATAATATTCGGATGCAATATCTTTTTTAGCTCCACCTAAGGCTAGGATTCTGCCAAGCCACGAGGACATCAAAAGAACAAGAAAAAGAAAAGACGACGATCTTGATAACAAAGAACAATCGGGAAATTACTAATCAACAAACCCGACAATAGTAAAAACACAAATCTTCATCAATCTTCGAACGACACCACACCAAAACTATTCAAAGTCCAGATCACCGCCTACAGCAATAAGAACAACAATAACCACACCACAGATATGAAAAAAAAACTCCAGGATTCAGATTACGCTCACATCCATCCAAGAGAGAGTTCCTTCCCACTGTACATGCCCGAAATCCATCATTCTGCAATAAGCACATCAAAAAAACCAGAAAAGCATTAATTTTGGAGGAGACTTGATGTCAAATTTGTCTGATAATTGGAATTATCCAGAAATTACCACATAAACAAACCAAAACTACTGCAAAAAATGGTATCCTTCCCGTTCAATCCTTCGAAATACCAGAGCCACCGCCCGGAAACAACCATGATTAAATCTCAAAAATCGCCATAAAAAAATTAGCGATAATAAGCTTCAAATTAATCAAATCATCAAACCATAGAAGCAACGGTCGAACCCAGTGAAGATCATCAATTGAAGATCCTAACCTTCTGCTAATCCTAGACTCGAGAAAGAGCAGCAAAGTAGGTGCAGGCAAATTGAATGGAGAGGTTGAAAGCTATTTCAGCAGTGTGTGTCCTGAAGTTCTAAAAAAGAAAAAAAAAACTCGAGAAAACAGTGTGCAGATATCAAAAGGTGCCAAAAGCATAAATTCCTCAAGCACAAGATTATGGGTGAGAAGATAACTCCCTCCAAATCAGTTTACCATCTGAGGAAGGCTGGCTCAGTTATCACCACAACTCCGAATCACTGAAACCCTATATTGTACAACACAATCCTAGACTCAAGAGAAAGAGCAGCAAAATAGGTGCAGGTAAATTGAATGGTGCCAAAAGCATAAATTCCTCAAGCACAAGATTATGGGTGAGAAGATAACTCCCTCCGAATCAGTTTACCATCTGAGGAAGGAAGGCTCAGTTATCACCACAACTCCGAATCACTGAAACCCTATATTGCACAACACAATCCTAGACTCAAGAGAAGAGCAGCGAAATAGGTGCAGGCAAATTGAATGGAGAGGTTGAAAGCTATTTCAACACAGCGTGTCCTGTAAGTTCCAAAAAAGAAAAAAAAAACTAGATAGAACAGCGTGCAGATATCAAAAGGTGCCAAAAGCATAAATTCCTGAAGCACAAGATTATGGGTGAGAAGATAACTCCCTCCAAATCAGTTTACCATCTGAGGAAGGAAGGCTCAGTTATCACCGCAACTCCGAATCACTGAAATCCTATATTGCACAACACAAGTAATGAAGCAAATCAGAAAACGAACACCTGTCTCGCAGAACAACTCAGCATCTATAGCCAAAAAACTCCGTCAAACAGCAGAAAAGGAGGACAGAGAAAACTTCTCTCGAATTTGGTAAACCAGTATAGCAGGGTAAACCCTCTTGTATCCAAGCTCCCCTAAATCAATACAACACATAAGGCCAGTTACTGATAGACTCCCCGACTAATTTTTTCAGGAAATAAAAAGGGAAACCAAAAAAGGGACGAGGGAAAACATTCCCGATGCCGTATAATATACGCGTCCAGAAAGTCTTTTTTAGCCCCACCGAAGACTACGATTCTGCCACACCATAACGAGAACATCAAAAGAACCAGAAAAAGAAAACACGAAAATCTTGATAACAAAGAACGATCCAGAAATTACTAATCAACAAACCCAACAATAGTAAAAGTTGAATCTTCCTCATCAATCCTCGATCGTTACCACACCAAAACTACTGAAAGTCAAGAGCACCGCCTACAACAATAACAACCACAGATATGAATGAAATAAAAACTCCAGATTCAGATTACCCTCACATCCATCCAAGAGATAGTTCCTTCCCACTCCACATGGCCCGAAATCCATCATTCTACAAGAAGCACAGCAAGAAAACCAAAAAGAAGAACCAAAAAGGGCTAACTTTGAAGGAAAATTGATGTCAAATTTGTCCGATAATTGGAATGATCCAGAAATTACCACCAGAAATTACCACGTAAACAAACCGAAACTAGTGCAAAAACTGGTACCCATCCCGTTCGATCCTTCGAAACAACAAATCCACCGCCAAAAACACAATCATGATTAAATCTCGAAAATCACCATAAAAAATTAGCGATAATAAGCTTCAAATTAACCAAATCATCAAACCATAGAAGCAACGATCGAGCCAGCGATGATCATCAATTGAAGATCCTAACCTTCAACTGAGACAAAATCCACAGCAAACGAATCTAATTTAGGGAAAACCTAACCCTAGAACCTAAACAAAACCTATGACGAAGAACAGCAGGCAAAAATCTTACCACACAACTAGCAGGCGAAAACGGTGAATGCCAGTCGAGGGGATTGGGTATTTATAGATGTTTGGGAAGAGAATGAACGGTTAGGATTAAGCCGTCATCTGTGATCTGGTCGGTTGAAAAGAGGTCTATTTATCCAAAAGTCCGCAAGGACATGGGCTAAGATTCTCTTACGCGTATTGTACAAAAGTCGGTTGTTTATTTAATTTATGAAATTTGGCCACCACAAGATTTATAGATTTTTTTTATTTATTATTTTACCAAAATTATTTTTGAAAAAATCCTTGACAGCTGTGCATGTCAAAGCCCATAAGCTTTGGGGAACATTCTCAACACTTCCCTGTTGAATTGTTGACAGCTGGACTTATCTTGTGAGTAGAACTGTTTTTTTGTTGTTATTTTCTAGAGTTCTCGAATATATCTGTAGAAAATGTAAAAAAAAAATTATTAAAAAATCAATTCGTAGAAAAGATATAATTTTTTTGAAAGAAATATGGCAATCTGAACAAGGATTACTTTGGTAAATAGTAAATAATTGATTTGTTTGGTGATAGGTTGCAATTTATTTATTTATTTTATTATTAATTCCTCCTATTACCTGACTTGATGTGGATTAATTGCAGGATTTTACTTATTTTTAGTATTTTGCATTTATTTCAGGGAGTAGAACGAAAATACGATAACAAGTGCCAAGTTTGACAGAAAAGATGTCCAAGCCACAGAGCTTATTCCAGGGATATTTTTGGCAAAGAGGATATGATGCCCATTTTGGTAATTTCCGCAAGAAAGAACGGGCGGAGGGCTTCTCCCTCCTGGTGAGCCGCCGCAATAAGAAGGAAGAAAAAATGATCAAAAAGGGGGCTGGCTTTTATGCTTAGTTTTTTCTTTTGGTCTTTAGCTGAGAAGAAAATGTTGTTGACTTTTCCAAGGAGTTTATCTTTTTGCTTTTGAGACTTACGAATGTCAGGAGCTTAGCCAGCCTGGGCTTGACTTTTTCTTCTTCTTTAGCTACTTTCAGTATTTCTCTTCTTTTCCTCTGTGCGCGGAACAGAATGGAAGCCATGAATGGCCTTCTGTAGCTTTTCTATTTATTCAGTATTCGGACGAATTGGATTGTCCAAATTTAGACGAAAGATGGCTGCGATTTCCTTTGCAATTTTGTCTGAGGTTTACGCATCAAATATGAACTAAATTCCTCCCTTCTAGCCAAGGAGCAACGAAGGCTCTGGTTCGCCTAAAGATTGTGAGATCAATTTAATTTAATCTTTTTCTTTCATCTATTGGTATTCGCATTTTCCCTGATTGCTATGCTTATGGTTATTTAATTAATTGGTTGTCTTGGATCCGGATAATTAATTGATTGGGTAGTCTATTGTCAATTGGGGTATTAAATCCGTAATTATTTAATTACCTCAAAATAGTGACAACTGGCACGATTAGATTCATGTCAGGGGGATACGCGGGCTAATCTAAAATAACCCTGATAGTGTGTTATTTAGTTAGAATAGGGCTCCTCTAATACGTAAGGCAGTTGGGGAATTAAATTCTACAGGCGTACCTAGGATTATTACTCAATTAGAGCAGTGATTAACGGGCGTACCTTGATCACCGACACAGTAAGGAGGGGTTGACTGCCATCGCTTGTTTGGTAGTTATAACCTATTTATTGGTAAATAATTGGGATTGCTTTGCATCAATGATCAATTAGGTAAACCATTGCTGAAGTTACTTCTTGGCTAGATCTTTAGTTAATATTTCCTTGGTTGTAGTGGATTGCCATTTGACTTTTAATTGCCTATTTTATTTTATTTTTGATTATTTCCTTGTTTTAATTGATTTAGGCCTTCAATTATTGTTATCCTGAGTCCAGTGAATTGTGGTTTAATTGTTAGTTAGTTGTTTATTTTTATTTACTTATTCGAATTTATTTAATTATCGTCGTTCCTACAAAATCACCCCCCTGTGTCACTTGGGATTTCTTAAGAAACGAATATACCCAATCCCTGTGGATACGACCCTACTTGCCCTGTCTACGAATTCATAATTATTTGTGAAAAGAAATAACCATTCTATTCGGGTATATCGGATCAAGCAAACTCTTCGGGAACAGGGTGAATCAAGTAACCCATTGCACACCTAGAGTCCCTGCTCCAGTACTTGGAAGTGGGTTTTGGTCATTTTAACTGGCAATTAGGTTTAATTTTATTATTGCACAGGTTTCGACAACCTGTCAATTTTTGGCGCCGTTGCCGGGGACTGGCGTTATTATTTGTTTCTTTTTAAATTCAATTTTTGTCCTAATTTTCTGGTTTTCTTCTAGTGTATGCCTCGATCCTCTCGCACAGGTGATTTGATTTTTGACCCTGAGGTAGAGAATACCGCGCGTAGAACGAGAAAGGAAACCAGACAGCTCAGAGAAGAGCACTCCAGTGCTACATCTCAAAGACCCGAGTCAGAAGCTGAACCAACAGATTCGTTTGGTAACACTTCGGGTGACTCTGACCAGGAGGAGGGCACCATGGCTAATGCACAAACATTAAGGGAGTTGGCTGCTCCTGATTTAACTCAGCAGCCTTTATGCATTACTTTCTCCGCTTTAAATGACAACATTCCATTTGAACTAAAATCTGGTCTGATTTAGCTTTTACCCTCTTTTCATGGTTTACCAGGTGAAGAGCCGTATAAGCATCTGCAGGAGTTTGATGTCGTGTGCAATAGTATGAAACCCCCGGGAATCACAGAAGAGCAGATAAAAATGAGGGCATTCCCCTTCTCGTTGAAAGATTCTGCGAAAGACTGACTGTACTACCTGTCACCAGGTAGCATCACCACGTGGGGCCAATTGAAGAAAAAATTCTTGGATAAATATTTTCCTGCGTCCAGGGCTGCAAGTCTAAGGAAAGAAATTTGTGGGATCAAGCAGCATCCAGGGGAGTCACTTTACGAGTATTGGGAACGGTATAAGAACTTGTTGCGCAGGTGCCCCCAACACCAAATAAGTGAACAGTTGATCATACAATATTTTTATGAGGGGCTCATTTTTAGAGATAGGAGTATCATTGATGCTGCAAGTGGAGGGGCACTGGTGAACAAAATCCCTCAGGAAGCACGGAAGTCAATAGAGGGGATGGCAGAGAATTCACAGCAATTCAGTACAATAGAGGATGTCCCAATACGTAGGGTGAATGAGATAGAGACACCCTCTGTGCAGCAGCAGCTAAATGAGTTGACTGCGTTTGTTAGGCAACAGGCTGTGAGAAATGCATCACAAGCCAGGGTATGCGGGATTTGCACTGGTATAGGTCAGTCTGCATACATGTGTCCAATGATTCAGGAAGAAACTGCAGAACAGGTGAACATGGCTGACCACGCACCCGCGCCAAGGAAGCAGTACGACCCTTATTCAAGCACCTACAACCCCGGGTGGAGAGATCATCCCAACCTCAGTTATGGAGGGAATAGGCAACCCAACTTCACGCCGAACAGGCAGTCTAACTTTGTGCCAAATAAGCCACCAGGGTACCAGCAGCAATACCAACCCCGACCACCTCCGACCCCTCAATCTGATTCATCTACGGAGGAGATGCTGAAACAAATGATGACAACCATGGCGCAAAATCAGTAAAGGACGGAGGCAGCTATTATGCAAAATCAGCAAAGGACGGACTCCGAAATGCAGGACATAAGGAATCAGATAAGTCAACTGGCCACCAAAGTTAACCGTTTGGAGTCCCAGAACCAAGGGAAGCTGCCATCTCAACCGGAGTTGAATCCGAAGAACGTGAGCGCCATGACCCTAAGGAGTGGGAAAGAAATTCAGAGGCCTGAACCTGTGATTCCTAAGGACAATGATGAAAAGAAGATCGAAAATGAGCTCGAAAGGGAGGACAGCAATGGTGCAGATCAAAAGGTACTTCCTGACCCAATAATTACAGTTAAAACTAACCCGCCTCCTTTTCCTAACAGGTTGGAAAAATCAAAGAAGCAGGATAAGGAGAAGGAAATCTTGGAGGTTTTTCGCAAGGTTGAGATAAATATCCCCCTCTTAGACGCCATCAAACAAGTACCAAAATATGCCAAGTTCCTAAGGGACTTGTGTGTCAACCGAAGGCGATTGAGGGGGGATGAATGGATTATTGTTGGGGAGAATGTGTCAGCGGTCCTGCAGAGGAAGCTTCCACCAAAGTGCGGGGACCCAGGTATGTTTACTATTCCTTGTAAGATAGGTAATACTGTGATCAGAAAGGCCATGTTGGATCTGGGAGCATCAATTAATGTCATGCCTAAATCTATCTATGCTTCTCTAAAATTAGGTCCATTGAAAGAAACTGAAATTATCATTCAATTAGCTGACCGAACTAATGCATATTCTGATGGGTTGGTTGAAAATGTATTGGTAAAAGTTAATGATTTGGTGTTTCCAGTTGATTTTTATGTACTGGATATGGATGATGATCACTCCCATGATCCCTTACCTTTGTTATTGGGTAGACCTTTTATGAGCACTGCACAGACGAAAATTGATGTTAATAAGGGTACCTTGTACATGGAGTTTGATGGGAAAATTGTGCATTTTAATATTTTTGATATATGAAGTACCCCTCGAACTCCAACTTTAGCTCAATTTTTTCTGTGAGTGCTATTGACCCTGTAGTGCAGGAAGTCTTTGAAACTGATGGCAAGGATGAGTTGGAGGTGGCTTTAACCAAGCACCTCGAGTTGGAGACAACTCCTCAGGTGGAATGGAGTGAGCATTTAAAATGCACAATAGGTGCATTACACTCATTGCAGACCACCACGAAAAGGTATGAAATCTTACCTATTTTTACTCCCGAGCCTCACCAGAGGGTATTGTCATCTGTGGTGCAGGCACCTGCACTGGAGTTGAAACCTCCACCAGAGCACCTGAAATATGCATATTTGGGTGATAATGAGACACTCCTGGTGATTATCTCATCGACACTGTCAAAAATCCAGGAAGAGAAATTGATCCGGGTCCTTCGGGAGCATAAAGAGGCGATATACTGGACAATCGCAGACATTAAGGGGATCAGCCCGGCCATCTGTATGCACCGGATTAGGCTAGAAGACAATGCCAAACCTGTTAGGCAGGCTCAAAGAAGGCTCAATCCCCTCATGATGGAAGTTGTAAAGAAAGAGATTCTAAAATTGCTAGATGTGGGGATCATCTTTGCAATATCTGATAGCCCTTGGGTGAGTCCGATCCAGGTAGTCCCGAAAAAGGCGGGAGTGACGGTAGAAGCCAACCAAACGGGTGAGCTCGTGCCAGTGCGCAAACCCACGGGATGGAGGCAGTGCATAGACTACCGTAGGCTAAACGCTGTCACTAAAAAGGACCATTTCCCTCTCCCTTTCATTGACCAAATGGTTGAACGTTTAGCTGGTAGAGCTTATTATTGCTTTTTGGATGGATTTTCAGGATACTTTCAGATAGCAATTGCCCCAGAGGATCAAGAGAAGACAACTTTCACGTGCCCGTTCGGGACCTTTGCCTACAGACGAATGCCATTTGGGTTGTGCAATGCACCTGCGACTTTCCAAAAATGTATGGTAAGCATCTTTTCTGAGTATGTTGAGAAAATAATAGAAGTTTTCATGGATGATTTCAGTGTGTATGGTGATAGTTTTGATACGTGTCTAGATAACCTGAAATTGATCCTGATAAGGTGTATAGAGACTAATCTTGTGTTTAATTGGGAAAAATGTCATTTTATGGTTGAGCACGGGATAGTCCTGGGTCATATTGTATCGTCTAAGGGCATAGAAGTTGACAGGGCTAAAATAGACATTATTTTTGCATTACCTTACCCCGCGAGTGTGCGGGAGGTGCGCTTTTTTCTTGGACATGCAGGTTTTTATCGAAGATTCATCAAGGATTTTTCAAAAATTGGAGCCCCATTGTTCCAACTCCTACAAAAGGATGTGACCTTCGAATTCAATGACAAATGTGAGAAGGCCTTCGACAAGTTGAAAGAATTGTTGACTTCACCCCCAATCATCCAGCCCCCTGACTGGAGTCTACCATTTGAGATTATGTGCGATGCCAGTGATCAGGCCTTAGGGGCTGTATTGGGGCAAAGAATAGGGAAGGCAGCTCACGTCATCTATTATGCATCCCGAGCATTGAATGGAGCCCAGTTGAATTACTCCACCACTGAGAAGGAGTTTCTTGCAGTTATTTTTGCTTTAGAAAAATTCAGGTCATATTTGCTAGGTGCTAAAGTAATTATATTTTCTGACCATGCAGCATTAAGGTACCTAATGACCAAGAAAGATGCAAAGCCGAGACTCATAAGGTGGATATTGCTACTACAGGAATTTGACCTGGAGATAAGGGACAAAAAAGGCTCAGAAAATCTAGTAGCAGACCATTTAAGTCGCATACCAATTGGGGAGGATAATGAGCCATTGAAGGATGCATTCCCTGAAGAACATTTATTTTCCTTAAATTCTCAATTGCCTTGGTATGCTGATTTGGTCAATTATCTAGTAACGGGTGATTTTCCTGCAGGTTGGCCAAAATCGAAGAAGGATAAATTGAAAAGTGACGCCAAGTATTTCATCTGGGACGACCCGTACCTATGGAAGAGATGTGCTGACCAAATAATGAGAAGATGTGTAAGTGAAGTGGAATTTCAATCAATTTTAGCTTTTTGTCATGCTTTTGCCTGTGGAGGTCATTTTAGACCCAAGAGAACTGCTCATAAGGTTTTGGAAAGTGGATTTTATTGGCCTTCATTGTTTAAGGATGTCTATGTGTTTTGTAAGTCATGTGATCGCTGTCAAAAGGTAGGTAATATAGCCCGTAGAGATCAAATGCCCCAAGTCCCGTTGATTTTTGTTGAAATTCTTGATGTCTGGGGTATAGATTTCATGGGGCCTTTTCCTACTTCATTTGGTTTTTTATATATTTTGCTGGCAGTTGATTATGTGTCTAAATGGGTGGAGGCTAAGGCCACTCGAACTAATGACTCGAAAGTAGTTGCAGATTTTATCAGGTCTAATATTTTTGTGCGATTTGGAATACCTAGAGCTATTGTCAGTGATAGGGGGACGCATTTTTGTAACAAAACCATAGCTGCGTTGTTTCGCAAGTATGGTGTACTCCACAGGGTCTCAACGTCATACCATCCTCAGACCAATGGTCAAGCGGAGGTGTCGAATCGGGAGATTAAGTCCATTTTAGAGAAAATGGTGCGCCCTGATAGGAAAGATTGGAGCTAAAGGTTGGAGGACGCACTCTGGGCCTATAGGACGGCGTACAAGACTCCTATAGGGATGTCACCGTACAGGTTGGTATTTGGGAAGCCGTGTCACTTTCCAGTGGAGTTCGAGCACAAGGTTTTTTGGGCGATAAAACAATGCAATATGAATTTAGAGGAGGCCGGTGCTCAACGGAAGTTGGATTTGCAAGAATTGGAGGAGATCCGGAACGAAGCATACGAAAACGCCTTGATTTATAAAGAGAAAAGCCGGGCATTTCATGACCAACAAATTTCAAGAAAAACATTTGAAGTTGGTCAGAAGGTCCTCCTGTACCAATCCAGGCTCAAGTTATTCCCAGGTAAGCTACGTTCCCGTTGGATTGGACCTTTTATGGTTACTCACGTTTTTTCATATGGTGCAGTTGAGATCCGAAGTACTAAGACAGACAACAAATTTGTGGTGAATGGACACCGTCTCAAATATTATTACGAAAGATTTTCAGGAAGAGAGGTGGAGACAATAAGGCTTGACGCACCACCGTGTCCTAATCAGTGACATTTTACCATGTCTAGCCAAAGACATTAAAGAAAGGCGCTTATTGGGAGGCAACCCAATTGTTCCTTTTTGTTGGTTGTTCACTTTCGTGCAGTAGTTTAGAAGTGTTCTCCTGGAATTCGACTGATTTGGGGTTTCAGTTTTCGTTTTTGCTGATTTATAGGTCTCCTTCAGTCATGACGTGACCGCGTGGTGATGTGCAGGACGCTCACGATCAGGAATTTCTGAAACTTCTGGTAGCTCTCCTGCCCTCTTGACGTGCCCGCGTCACGTTCGCGGGAAAGGTAAGGATTCAAAAAAAAATGAAAGAATATAGAAAAATTATTATTATTATTTCATTATTCAAATAATGGGAAAAAAAAAGCAAGGGCAAGAAAAATTTTGCATCTTAACCGTAGCAATTTCTTTTCTTAAAAAAAAAAAAAGAGAAAAAAAACACACACACACGAGAGTTCCTTTCTTTCCCCTTTCTTCTTTCCCCTTTCTTCTTCTTTCTTTCTTTCTCTTTTCTTTCTTTCTCCCCTGCTGCTCCCCTGCTCTCTGCGCACGCGACAGCCGAATCCCTTTACTGCCACGGCCGCCGAGCGCTCGCCCAGCCCATCGCCGCCCGCGATCTACCACCGTTCTCCACGGCTGAAGCTCGCTGGGCCATCGTGCAACCACTCCAGCGCCGCCACCACCTGTCCGCCACCCTTCCTCACCCGATGCAGGAGTGACGTCGCCGCTCGCCGCTGCGCACGCCGACGCGAGCGCCGCCCCGCTCGACCACCAGCTCCGCTCACGCCGCGAGCTCTCTCCCTCTTTCTTCGACCCACGGCCATCAGCCGCAACCCAGATCTCCACTGGCCGCCGCCGCCGCTGCCCAGTCCGCGTCCGCCATCCGATTCAACCAGCGAGGAGTGCGCCTCCCTCGCTGCTCTCCCCTGCTCTCTGAGCGCTCCACCAGCCCGAGCCGTCGCCATCCACGCTGGAGTCGCGCGCCGCTGCTGCTCTGCGCGCCTCTCGCCATCGCCACGCTCTGCCCACATACGCAGCCACGCTCCACCAGCTTCAACGCCGCTTCTCTGTCTGCCGCCTGGGGTAGTCCCAGTGGAGGTATTTGACACTTGCCCCCAATTTCTCAGTGTTAGCCGGTGATATTTGGTAGCAGCTTGTGCATATTTGGATGATTTTTCACCAGTGGTACTGGTTGGACTATTCTTGCTTGGAATTGCTAATTCTTTTGGGTTGGGTGAAATTGTGCATTTAATTGGCCATCTGGAGCCACCTGTTGGGAATCTGGGTGAGCTACAATACTGCATTGGTTTGACTGTCTGAGTAGCTGTGTTTATTGCGTTGTTACTGTCCCCTTGCTGCACTACTATTGCTGAATATGAGTTAGCACTTTTCTTGGCCAACTGGAGCCGTTTATTGAGATTTTAAGTGTGTTGCAATGCTATGATTATTTGTTCGATTTGGAGACGACATTTTGAACATCACGTTGCTTGGGGATATTGCTTGAATTGCTGGATGACCCGCTGGGGTTTCTCTTGAGATTATAGTTGAGTTATTTCTGAATTGCTTGTTGATTACCTGCTGGAACTCTTTTGTTTGCTATTGGCTGAGTTACTACTGGGAGATTTTTGCTTTGATATTGCTGGTTTCTATACCTGTTGGATTTTCTGTTGCCTTGAACTTACTGTTGGGGGACATGGTGAGACCAAAATCATCCTCTAGGTCTAGGACCCCTCGTTCTCAGCCTCCCCCACAAGCCTCCATCCCTGTGAATACACCTACCAACCTACCTTCCTTTTCTGGTGCTCGGACCCGGTTGGGTAGGGGTAGGGGTGCCAGGTAGATACCCCAGCTCATTTTGGGGGGCACCTAACCTTCACTAGACCCGCCGATCAGCAGAGGTATGCTAAGGTCTGCGAGCGGCGTATTACACCAAGTAAAACTTGGAAAAAATTAACCGCCATGGGTCTAGGCATACAAGAGGAAGTTGAGCAGATGTTTACAGCCATCGGGTGGCGCTCATATCTCGATATCTTATGCCCCGCCTTTGTCGAGCTGACTCGGGAGTTTTACTCCACCTTTGAGTTCGAGTTACCTACGAGATACACCGTTGACACACCACAGGTCATTCATTTCCGGCTCATGGGTCGAGAGTTCAATTTCTCCATTACCCAATTCAATCGGGCATTTGGGTTTGTCACTAGAGAGTATGCTGGTACTAGGGAGTATGCCGAGAGTGCCTGTGACTACATAGAGCCGTTCCTCTCCCACTACCATGATGTGTGGGAAGACATGTCCGTCGATCAGCAGCGCTACGATCCTTCCCGATCTAGGAGCTCCTTTCTTAAGGACCCTAGTGCCCGCTATGTTCAGCGTTTCTTAGCCTACAGCTACTCAGGGCGCAAGGACAGCTCTGGCATACTCTCTCGCCCTGAGTTCTTCTTCCTCTGGAGTATGAAGAACAATATCAAGGTTAACTTGGGGTGTTGGTTGGCCGCACAGTTCAAGACCGTCTTGGCCAAAAAGAACAAGCCCCTTATCCTTGGGTCCTATATCACTCACTTGGCGATACAGTTGGGGGTTCTTAACCTGGAGGACCACGACCTACATTTGGCGTGCGAAATGGAGCTCTTGGACGTAGACTGTTTGGAGAGGATGGGAGTCATCGAGCGCCTGCCTGATGGTTCCTACCAGTTCACCCCCCCGGGACCACTTAGAGCTCCGAGTGCGCATCATTCGTCCCGGGCAGGGCCCTCCTCCTTTCCTGGATCAGCCGAGGACACAGTTGGGCCATCTTCTTCTGTACCACCTCCACCGCATGGGACTACTGAATGGCAGCAACTCCGGGAGCAGGTTCAGACTATGCAAGCTCGGATGGTCAACGTTGACGCCAATGTCGCCGGCATAGCACAGAATTTGGCTCAGTTTCTGATGCATACAGGCTTTGCACCTCCGTTTCCACCTCGCCCTCCGCTATGACCCGATTTCAGGGAAGTTTGGCTGATCCCCCTCTCACTTTTGCTTCACTTTTGGTTTTTATTTGTCACATTGAGGACAATGTGTCCTGTAGGTGTGGGGGGAACGGGTCCAAGGGGGTGCTAGTGTTTTCCGTTTTTAGTAAAAAAAAAATGTAAGTTTTTAGTTTTTAGGAGTATTTCTTAGTTTTATTTCTAGTTGCTCGTTTGTTTTTAGTTTTTAGGAGTATTTCTTAGTTTTATTTCTAGTTGCTCATTTTCGTTCTTTCTTCTTAGTGCCTACCCTTCATGTTCATGTGAATGCTAAAAATGGAGATGTGGACTTATTGACTCCAAGTCTACTTTTGCCAAGTTTTTAAAATACAAAATGTATCGGGTTAATGTGGTTGGATCCAGAATATCTCCCCGGTGAATATTGGATTGCTTGGCTCTTTTGATTTCTGTGTTAATTTTTCTAGGCATAGGGAATGACTATGGCTTTTAATGTGAACTGGTCCAATATTGACTCCAGTTCTCCATGTTTGGCAATAATGAGGCGAGCTGCTCCTATGTTTGATTGCTAGTGCTGTTATTTTGCGTTTGTGCATTGTTCGGCTGTGAATAAGTTTGACTGTACTCCGCTATTAAGTTACTATTGAGTAACCGGGGATCGGCACCTAAAAGTGTCGATTCTCGCGTCAAAAGATGGTACTTTATATGAGTACGTGGTCGTATAGCGGTAGGAGCTGAGTAACCGGGCTCCTTCATCTAAAAATGTTGGAGTTCGCGTCAAAAGGCCCCGATGGCTAACGACTAAGTCTTTTTGTGCTAATTATTATTATCCTTAGACGAAAAAAAAAAAGAAAAAAAAAGAGAATAAATACTGGGGAGGCTTGCTGGTTTATGGACTTAATATGGAGACTTGTGTGAATATTTGGACCGTTAGCTGATAAATGTTGTGCGCCATTCCCTTTTCTTAGAGTAGTTAACCTGAAAATTGAAGGAATTCGCAGTTTAGGGGCTAACCGGGGGGGGAGGCTTCTTGGATTTTAATCACCAATGCTCGATATATGTTTTTCTCTTGAATATCTTGGCAATATAGGAGATTGGGCAATGGCCATCATCGAATTTTGGTGTTCGTTTACTATTCTTATGCTTGAGGACAAGAATGGTTTAGGTGTGGGGGGAATTGATAGGTTACAATTTATTCATTTATTTTATTATTAATTCCTCCTATTACCTGACTTGATGTGGATTAATTGCAGGATTCTACTCATTTTTAGTATTTTGCATTTATTTCAGGGAGTAGAACGAAAATACGATAACAAGTGCCAAGTTTGACAGAAAAGATGTCCAAGCCACAGAGCTTATTCCAGGGATATTTTTGGCAAAGAGGATATGATGCCCATTTTGGTAATTTCCGCAAGAAAGGACGGACGGAGGGCTTCTCCCTCCTGGTGAGCCGCCGCAATAAGAAGGAAGAAAAAAGGATCAAAAAGGGGGCTGGCTTTTATGCTTAGTTTTTTCTTTTGGTCTTTAGCTGAGAAGAAAAGGTTGTTGACTTTTCCAAGGAGTTTACCTTTTTGCTTTTGAGACTTACGAATGTCAGGAGCTTAGCCAGCCTGGGCTTGACTTTTTCTTCTTCTTTAGCTACTTTCAGTATTTCTCTTCTTTTCCTCTGTGCGTGGAACAGAATGGAAGCCATGAATGGCCTTCTGTAGCTTTTCTATTTATTCAGTATTCGGACGAATTGGATTGTCCAAATTTAGACGAAAGATGGCTGCGATTTCCTTTGCAATTTTGTCTGAGGTTTACGCATCAAATATGAACTAAATTCCTCCCTTCTAGCCAAGGAGCAACGAAGGCTCTGGTTCGCCTAAAGATTGTGAGATCAATTTAATTTAATCTTTTCCTTTCATCTATTGGTATTCGCATTTTCCCTGATTGCTATGCTTATGGTTATTTAATTAATTGGTTGTCTTGGATCCGGATAATTAATTGATTGGGTAGTCTATTGTCAATTGGGGTATTAAATCCGTAATTGTTTAATTACCTCAAAATAGTGACAACTGGCACGATTAGATTCATGTCAGGGGGATACGCGGGTTAATCTAAAATAACCCTGGTAGTGTGTTATTTGGTTAGAATAGGGCTCCTCTAATACGTAAGGCAGTTGGGGAATTAAATTCTACGGGCGTACCTAAGATTATTACTCAATTAGAGCAGTGATTAACGGGCGTACCTTGATCACCGACACAGTAAGGAGGAGTTGACTGCCATCGCTTATTTGGTAGTTATAACCTATTTATTGGTAAATAATTGGGATTGCTTTGCATCAATGATCAATTAGGTGAACCATTGCTGAAGTTACTTCTTGGCTAGATCTTTAGTTAATATTTCCTTGGTTGTAGTGGATAGCCATTTGACTTTTAATTGCCTACTTTATTTTATTTTTGATTATTTCCTTGTTTTAATTGATTTAGGCCTTCAATTATTGTTATCCTGAGTCCAGTGAATTGTGGTTTAATTGTTAGTTAGTTGTTTATTTTTATTTACTTATTCGAATTTATTTAATTATCGTCGTTCCTACAAAATCACCCCCCTGTGTCACTTGGGATTTCTTAAGAAACGAATATACCCAGTCCCTGTGGATACGACCCTACTTGCCCTGTCTACGAATTCATAATTATTTGTGAAAAGAAATAACCATTCCATTCGGGTATATCGGATCAAGCAAACTCTTCGGGAACAGGGTGAATCAAGTAACCCATTGCACACCTAGAGTCCCTGCTCCAGTACTTGGAAGTGGGTTTTGGTCATTTTAACTGGCAATTAGGTTTAATTTTATTATTGCACAGGCTTCGACAACCTGTCATTTGGACAGATTATTATTTTAAAAAATATTTTCAATTACATCTTAAACAGTTGACATAAATATGTTGTTGGTATATTTATGTTCATTAATATAATCTCCTTGATTTTTGTATTTGTGTGAATAAATAAAATACTTCAAAGTTTTAATTTCAATTACAATCTCATAACAAAATAGCGATTGAAATGCAATAATAGATAGCAAGTTTAAGTATGGATATCGGGTACATCTACGTTTATTAGTATAATCTCCTTGATTTTTTTAATATGTGTGAATAAATAGATACTCAAAAGCTTTAATTTCAATTACAATCTCATAACAAAATAGTGGTTGAAATACAATAATAGATAGCAAGATGGAGTAGGGATTGTTGCGTGATTGATGTTATAGATAATTATTTTTAAAAATTTGATAAATAATTATTATTCAAAAAATATTTTTAAATTCATTATAAATACTCGTACTTTACATCATAAATATGTTGGTATATCTATGTTTGTTTAATATAATCTTGTTGATTTTCTTTGAATAAACAAAATACTCAAAAGTTTTAATTTCAACTATAATCTCATGATGAAATAGGTGTTGAAATGCAATAATAGATAGTATATTATTTGTCAAAATTTATTTATTTTTATTATTAATATATTTTTTATTATTTTTTATCTCACATACATTATAAAAATGTTACATTATTTTTTCAAAAAAATTATTCCAAATAATCTATTGTTCAAACACAGGTTGAGTACAGATATTGTTGCCTAATTGACGTGGTAGATAAGTATTAGACAAAAACATTAATAAGCAATTGAAAGCCAATTATAATTTTCGAATGGACAAAAAATGTGAATTTGGAGACCTTTCTTTTTCTTTTTTTTTTTCAAAATGGAAAAGGACCGAGTGAGAAAGTCAAATGGCCTAAATGAAACACGAGAAGACTCCGGCGTTCTGCGAAGTTCATATTGGGCTGGAGTACTCCGGAAAATGCCAGCCTCCTCTGATGTCTCATTTAGGCCCATCTTGAGTATGAACCTGTATCATTGCACATTTGGGCTGACAATATGCACCATGTCCCTGTAAACTTCTACGAGACCGGGCTTCAGCCTTTAATGTTTAAGCTTTGTAGGCATTCTTCAGTTTCTAGGAGATTGGGCTTGGCAGCTGATTTGTGGGCGGTTTTGATATGCTAGAATAGAATCGAGTCGAATTCTCGAGTGGATATTCAACTTGTCAATTACCTCGCGGTCTCACAAGTTTTATTTCAGGCTAGTTGAGAATAAAATGATTATTTTACATCACACTATAATAATATTGGTTTACATTGTGCTTAAAATGTATATATAGGCCTGCCAACGGACCGGGGTTCGGACCGGAATTCATTATTCCCAACCCGGACCCGGCATATCAAATCGGATACGGATTCGACCCGTTTATCCGACGGGTCTTCTATTCTATATTCCGGATCCAGATCCGATGGGTCTCGGATCCGGGTCCGGGTCTACCCGAAAAAAATTATGAAAATTTACAATTTCTAATAAAAATGAGAAAAAAATATATTTGTACACTAATTTCTAACTAATACAAAAAAAACCAAATAAGAAAATAAATCAAATTGACTTTACTCAAATACATCACTCTAATCAAATTATATTGATAAATATACATATTTTAAATTATTAATTCATTTATATCCGGATCCGGGTCTAATACGGGTCGAAATACTATATTCCGTATTCGACCCATTTTTTTGTTTGACAAAACGGATTTGGATCCGGGTAACGGAATTAAATCCCCACCCATTCCTGCATTAATTTCACGGATCCGGACCGGATCCGAGTCTAGACTCGGACCGTTGACAGGCCTATCTATTTATACCATATCTCTATGTAGAGTAAATTGATTTGAATTGAAACTTGTGAAGTCTTGGATCCCTTGTCAATCGTGCATAGGCAGGTCATAAGTTTTCAACTTGGCGTGGAAATTGGGAACTTGTCACCCGATTTTATGGATGATTCTTTCCTTCATTGTGCTACTATTACGTAACTGGCAATTAGGTCTCCGATTGACCCAAAAAAAAAAAGACTTGGGTATTTAAAATTTTTGCTTCTTTGTAATTCTTTTTGGTACAAAGTGTCATCATAAATTTATGACCTATATGTTCGATATGTGAGATTTTTTTTTTGTTGGGAGATTGTCTCGCATTGATTATAGCTACATTAGTTAATAAGCTATAAAATCACCAGTTCTTTTCACTTAAAATAATCTTGTGTATACAAAATTAAAAAATGATTGATCTACATTAAAACATAAAATAGTTCAATACCCTTGTTTAAGTGAATTATGAACTATACATATAATCACAACTTTCTGAAAACTCAGCAGATCATTGTACATGCATTATACACTCCAGCTCCATTTTAACATGAACTCCCAATCTCTTGTCATGTGATTTTCCTTTCTCCCAAAAATGAAACAATTTTGTTGATATAATTGACTAGAACTTCGACTCAATTAAATTGTTAACTCCCACAACTTTTCCTCCAAGTATATATGGACTAAGTACTAACTTCATGGATTCCCATTGGATTATCTTAAAAATAGAATAATATTGGACAATATTGAATTGGATGATAAACTTCGGTCAATATATCCCATAGAGATAATTGCTATAGAATTGGAAACCTACATAATTTCTTATTGAAAAAAAACACTCACAAGTACCAACTAAAGCAAGATCATAAATCAGTAGTGCGTTACATAGATGTTATACTCAACAGTAGCTTCACCAGTCTTGAGATTAAAGGAATGAGTTCTAGCCTGAGCATAGCCCCGAGCAAACCGGAGAAGCCCACTTCCCCCAATCACCGGCATCTCCCTAACCTTGTGGAACACCGGATTCCTCCCTAGCAAGGTGATGGTGCTTCCATTATACTTCCCTTCAACAAAAACAAAATTCATTATCATCAACAGAGCCAACTCCGCTTGTGAAGCTGATGCATAGAACCCTTGTGCTCTTGCAACTAGTTTGGAGCTCAGTTCAGATTCTATGGTCACCGGATTATCGATCATGTTAACAAAGCCAAACCCATTACGGAATTTTGGTAGTGGCTTCACTACTGTGACTGAAGTGGGGTGTATACCAGTGCCAATATCATGCCAGAAGAATCTAAAATGGCTTAGCTTTTCTTCTCTTAGTTCGAGTGCTTCTTTGTTAATTTCTTTGACAAACTCATGCTTTTGCTTACAGGTGACATGAATAGGCATGAAGAAAATGAGGATGGCAATGGTGGAGATGTTGAAGGCTGAGATAGTACTAGCCATTGAGAAATTATACACTGGAAACTTAGTTTCTAACTAATCAGGAAAAGTAGATGAAGGCAATATGTGGAGGGGGCTGTCTATATATCTGGAGAATTGGTAGAAGCAATTCTTTAAGACGCCATATGCCCAAAAGAAGACAAGCTAACACATGCAAGCGTGGTTTTGCCTTCTTTTTTCAAGGATTAATAATAGTTTCCACTTACTTTCTTGATGATTCAAATCCGTGACCTGTCAATTACCTGTGAAGCGTGGTTTTGTTCTGAATACTGTGAAGTGAATATGTGCTCTTTTTCTGTTCTCTTTTTTATTTTGGGAAAGGTTTATATGCATTATGTACATCAAAGGTAAATTCTCAAGTAGCTTCTAATGTTAATTAAAAATTAGGATTATTTTCTCTTTCTTTTTTCCCCAATTAGGATTTTTGTCCTGTGTAGGTTAGACTTGCATAGCATTAATTTATGTACATCAAAGGTAAATTATGCTATATTGTGGTTTGGAGTATTTTCCACTTTTTTTAATAGAACAATTATACATAGAGAAGTGATATCTCATTTGAACTTTCAAAAGTATAGCATATTCATTTGTTTATTTATTGGACACTTGAAGGGTATTTAGAAACTAAAAACGGTATGATTTATAATTGGAATAATCAACATTTGGACCATGCATCAAGGCTCATCTTTTGAACTTGAACAGATTAAACAGATAGTGGTTGAAAATCCACTTTTTCTTATTTTATTTCAATACTTATTAAGACAGAATACCAACTTGGAATTTTCAAATGTTCATAGAATGGCTTCAAAAGCTAAAATAAAGAAGAGTAGGTCATCATTGTACATCAGGTGTGCATCACAAATCTCCCATTTCAAAGCATCTTGTACACATGAGGCAACTACATCAAAATTCATCACCGACTATTCTACTTTCAATAAGGTAAATCTTGAGACTCAAGGGATGAAAGCAATCAATTAAGGTGACAACATTATTTGAGTCACCTTTTCAAATTTTCTTCCTTGGCTGCTGCTTAAACCGTCCACCTACAAGCTAGACAAATTAATCATGACTGAGTGAGTGGGAAGAATGTGTTAGCAGGAAAATGGGTTCTGCATAACATGATGGTTAGATATCCTTTTTTCCACTTTTCCAGAAGATAAATTATAGTGGGATAAATCACATATAAGTCAAGGATTTTGTTATTATGTGTATGATGCATCTGAAAGTCACGCTCACTTGCTACTAGTATATAAAATTTAAGCAAGCACTAAATTCCCCATGCTTTAGAATAAATTATTGAAAAAAGTTATGCTTTTTTTTGGGTTGGAAATAATTTACTCGACTTGCCTTTGAGTGAAAGTTTTCCCCTTGAATTGCTATTTTCTGAAGTTTTTTTTTTTATAAAGAAATGTATTTTAGCAATTTAATAGTTGTGTGATAAAAAGATAATTGAGATATGTGTTCATGAAAAACATCAAAATTTTTTTGGAGAAAAATTACTTTTCCAACAAGGAAAGGAATCGTATGAAGACATTAAATTCTTTTATGTTAGAAGATTCATGGCTCAGGGATGAAAGTATGGGGCGCAATTTCCTGCATAGTCCTTATTTTTTTTAAAAGCAAAAAGAAAAAGAAAGAAGTGGGAAACATTTTATTTTCTATTCACTAATTTTTTTTTCTACTATAGTTATGGGAATATGTTAAAGGAAAATTATATTTTACTACTAACAAAGGTATTCCGATGTCCTTTAAAAATAAATAACAAAAAAGTGGCAAGTGGAATCCACTCTGTGCCATCACCTTCATTTTTTTTTCCATTTAGAAAGTCCATGAAGAATCTTATTTGAAAAACTAATAGGCCAAAGAAAAGCATTGCTTAAAAAGAAACGAAGACGAAGAGTTTGAAACATCAAGATTTTTTATTTTTTTTTGGTCTCTGAAACATCAAGATTCAAGAGCTGAAATTGTAGCTTGTATTAGACAACGATTTAGCAATAGCTGGATCTCTTGTTGGCAAGTACATTGGAAATAGTAGGGTAAATCTTTTAGTATACCTTAACAGTGTGTACACTAACGAATCTAGATACGCCTACATATGTAAAATTTAAAATTCAACTCCAAATATTTGTTGTGTTTGGATAGCAAATTATTTACATAAAATTATTTGTTTGAATCATAAATATATTTTTTAATTACCTTTTTTATTTCATATATATCACATCAAAAAGTGTTACAATATTTTTTAAAAAATTATCCCAAATGATCTCTTATCCAAACACACTAGACAAAGCAAGTTCCATCGTGTATGGACAGCTCCATCATGTTGCTTTGGCAATCACCTCTCCTATTTTTGCCTTTTTGGTAGAGCAGTTCCAGAAAGATGCTTTTGTGCAGCATATCTGCTGTGGCGGGGGAGAAACAAGTTCCACGAAATCAGAAAACTTACATTCAAAGCCTCGACAAACTGTCCTGCACTTCAGAGAAACAACAATAGACTCAGTAATTACATGGGATTCAAACTCATTCATTACATGGTGACTGTGTACGTAGTTTATTTATGTATTAGGCTGTGCAAGACTGAAAGCCGTAGTTCAAGTTGGCTAACACATCTCCTTATGTCCAAGTTTCTTTTTTACTAAGTTTTGCAGAGTAGTTTAACCGATTGTATGCCTATTTATATATGTGAATCACTACAAGTTATATCAGAGAAGTATGAGATCTACCTAGGGGTGTTCAAATTTTGGAAAAAAATCGAAAAACTGAACGATTCAAGCTAGATTACATTTCTAATTTTGATAAAATGGAATTCGGTAAAATTGAAATATATTCAATTTTAATATTTGATCAAATGGGTTGAAAATGGATGTTAAAAATACATTACCGAATTACCTATTACTGGCTGAATTAGTAAATACTAATAATTAGTAAATACTAATTAGTAAATAATAACTAATAATTACTCAACTACTAACTGGTGACTAGGCACGTTAATAAGCAGGGTTTGAGTTGGATTTCTTAGATTCAAATTCAAACTCATTAAATTTAGTTAGACCCAGACCCTTATGGGTCTGAAAAAGTAAACCCAAATTCGGATCTTCATAGATTGGATATCCAATGGATATCCGTGGATACCTTTTTGAACATACAGTGAATAACCAAAGTGAAAATATTTTGAAAATATATAGAGTCCACAAATAACATAAATATCATCCAATTTTTATTTTTAAATAATAAAATTAACATTGATGATGTTGAATACAATATTATATTAACTAAAACTATTTATTTTTAAAGTTTCATCTGTATCTATTTTCAATCTTTCATTTGTTTACTTTTATTTTTTCTCTTCTTCCTAAAAATGTTTGTACTAATTACAATGACATAGAATATTATATTATTTTATAAGTTTGTTGATACACACACAGAGAATATTACATGAGTCTAAGTAGGGTCTGATTTGGATCTAAATCATAAAAAATTAGACACTACCCAGACCCATGGCTCTCTTGCAAGATCTGGGTTTGGATTTAATAAATTAAATCTAAACCCTACCCAAGTGTACTAGATCTAGATAAAAGTCAACACATTGACATGCCTATTAGAGACTACATATAATAACTAACAAACTTATTGATTAGACAAAGTGATATTTGCACTCCCAAATTAGCCTATTGCACTGTTTGCAGGTATAATATCTAGTGAGTGGATTGGAGTGCAACAGACTAAAATGGATGTGCAAATATCAATTCCCTAATTTAGTTAGCTATTGACTATTGAGTGCCAACTACTGACTATTCGATATTTGAGTATTAGTTTACTGCATCACGGAATTGGTTGGAGTTTGGACAGTAGAAATAGATTATTGGCATTTCGGATATTTTCGAATTATCGATTCTCAGGTTGAAATCCAATGACTAATATCCAATTTACCAAACTAAAGTTGGGACAGTAATCAGGTATTGGTCTTGACAAACCGATTATGAATTTTCAAAACTTTTTTCAATGAATTTTTTATTACTGGCTGATGAACACTTGTAGTTCCACCCGAGAGAGAGAGAGAGAGAGAGAGACGAGTATGTAATTTATTTCAGATCTGACTTGAGATAAAACACTTTTTCGGTGTTTTAATTTATTCAAATCTGGTTTGGGATTATTTTATTGAGATTTTTATTACTTGATTATGTAATTAGTCTTGCGCGGAATTGGTTCTATTAGAAACTACAGTGGTAAATTAGTAAATTAGAGTTATATTTTAGCTCATTCGGGTGACCTGCCAACTCGAAAATTTTGGATTCAAGTCGAGTATGCTAACCTATTGCTAGTTGGCAAGTAGTATTCGGGTCAGTAGGTTTCCTATTGTATCTGGGTCTCAACCTGACCCGTCACCCCGTTACTGACCTGATTGCTACACCTACTACTCACTCACATTCTTCTCTATCTTCTCAATTATTTTCATGATTTACTAAATTGGTTTTGGCTTTAATAATTTCTTGTATACTGATTCTGCATGCTCTTATATTTTTTCCATTTTTGAAAATTCACTCAAAAGGTTCTTTTTTCAAACGCAATGTAATTTAAGTCAAAGTAAATAATAGTTTAATATACAAATAATTTCAAAAAATAGCCTTACTTTTCCCTTCAATATTCATGGGACATATAACATAATGTAATTTAAATTTACTTTCATCTAATTGTTAGAGGATATGAATAACTCTTACATGATAAATACGAATACTTGATAAAAGAAAAAAGTCAAGATTTACATGACAATTATGAAAGAGAAAAAGAAGAAAAAGTACTAATAATATTAGTTGTTTAGAGGCATAATAAACAAGTAGAATTTAAAGAAAAAATTAACTTTTTATTAAATTTTTTATAGTCTAAGCAGAAAAATCATGCTAAGGTGTTGAGTTACAATGACATAATAATAATAATTATTATTTTAAGCTAAAATTTGTTGGAGTTAAATGAAGTTCTATTTACAAAAAAAAATAAATGAATAAATAAAAGTTTTAGTATTGAATAAAAAAGCAAGAGTGCATA